AGCTGCTTGAAAGATCAGATTACCCGGCGTATTTTTAGAAAGACGCTGAGAACAAATTAGCCCCTTGTGTTTCACCCCCATAAGGAAATTTCACCAATTACGCGCTAAGAAAACCATGCTCTTATCATCCTATAGTGGCAACAGAGCGCTTCAAATCGTTCTATGTGAATAGACTTATCTTTAGCTATGATATTAATTCCTTGAGGTAAATAGATGTATATTGTTCTAAGAGCTCTCAACTTTTTTTACTTGTTGTAACTTGAGATGTGTATTTTTATCTTCTGAATTTATTAAAGACATCTATTCTATTTTATGCTAAAACGTTGAAATGCGCACGTTTTGCCCGCGTTTTGCCCACCTCCGACGTTGGACCCGCGACAATAAATTAGGGAACTTAAGATAGAGACGTTTTCGGGGCGACGGCAACTTCAACCGGACGTGACATCATTATTTGTTGGATATTGCGCATGCTCTTGCTCACCACCTTGCCGTCGTGGTCCCGTCGGCGACGTGAAACTGCTCTGTTTGGCGTTGTGGCGAAAACGTGAGTATTTAACTGTCATTTCAATCAGGTTTGTTGCGTTTAGCAACCAGCATTTTGCAGATTATCGTTCTTAAATTGTCCTTGTTTTCTTTGAGGCACATTTCAAGCTCGATTTCCAAGCTATGTTATCTAAACTTACATTTTTGAATGTTTCTCTGTTTTCATGTCACAGGGTCAAGATCCAACTTGGCAAACAGCCAACCGTAAGTGAGCTTGACATGAACAAAATTTTCCTACAAGCCAAATAAAAGTATCCAGACAAAAAATGTGAACCCCGATATTTCAATTGTGTGTTTTTAGTTCGCTCTTTTCGTTAGAATATCGTATAAATGAAACGCATTGAAAATTATATAGAATAGTAGGTAATACCATGTACTAACTCGGCGTGGGAATACTGAAATAAAGTTGTTGCCGTTGTTGTTGTTGTGCATGCCAGTATTTTCCCGGGAATTATTTCAATACCAAACTAAGAATACGGTTCCTTGGTAGCATTTTAATGTTCCTGTAATTTGCAAGGCTTCGGCAAGCCTGTGGAGATCTTTTTTTTTTTCAACACGAAATTCTGCCTTGAACTCAGCTGCATCCCGCATGTTTTTTAGCGTGAACGGTCGTAACTGTCCCGAGGAAAATCGGGATTTTTGGACTCATAATTTTCCCACAAAACGAGAAATTCTTCATCCGATACATGTTGTCTGCATAGCAAATATTTATTCTCTTAATTCTTTATGTGAAGCCATATTTTCCTCTTCGGTATTCTTCTAATTAAAGGCGCCGTCCTTCTGAGTTCACTGCGATCTTAATGTTCTATTTTTGACGGGAAGCGACGGCTGCCTTAGTTCCAGGCTTTCTCTGTCAGTCCGGTCGCCGTCGCCCCGAAAACGTCTCCATCTTAAGTTCCCTAATGGACCCGCGACCGCGACATCAGACCCGCGACCCACGACCATCAGTCAAACTCGAATTCGTATTAGTCAGTTTATTAATCTTTTTTTTTTTTTTGAAACTTCAGTAAAAAAAGAAAAAAAAGGTGTTCAAATAAGTGGTTTAAAAAACATTGCACATCGGTCAATCGGCATGATCTGTTCGAGGCGACTTTTTGTCGCCTAATCGACTCACAAGAGGTCTTGTAATCGCACCTGGCGTCGTTTTCAAGCACAGTGATCATTAACCAGTCTTGAACATAATCACGTATTTATGAGTCAGTTCTGCTTCAATAAACTCTGTTCAACGGTCAAGTTAACATAGATTAGCCGCTAGTGTCTACTTTTTAAATCTGGGTTCTTTTATCAACAAAGTGAACCATAAGTTATATATAAAACAAGGAGGTACTGAACTTTATCGTTCCCACCATCAGCGGTAATTTTGCACGATACAATCTCAACAATTAATTTTGTTTAACAAACGCGAAACGTAGTGCTTTTTAAAACTATTTTTTTTTTAACTTTCGTAAAATGTATTTAGCCATTTTTTATAGCAGAATTTTATTTTGAAATGCTTAAAATAAATATAGAAAGTCGTATGGGCTTCCGACAGCAAACACCAGAGAATGTGGGCGGTAGCTAAACGTCGATGTTGCTTGCGAAAGACGGTCTCCAGTTTGGAAGGGAGAATTATTATGTTACCGGTTTTGCTACACTGTTTGTTCGTCTTTACTATTTAAGTCTGTTAAGTGGATTTCGGGGAGCTTAAGGACTTGAAAGTAAACTTTTTCGCATGCTACCAGCTTTGCGTCTCGTATAGTTCGTATGCATTCCTCACGACGAAATTACGATTATTGTTTGAAGAAATGTTATGCCAAATCGCCGTGTAACTACTCACCTTATGCTGATGTGGATTTTGCAATCAAGCCGTGGCGTTGGTAAGATGAATATAAACTACGAACAGCTGAGCAAGATGAATACTCAACATCCGCGGTTATAGCTTTCTTAAGCGTTTAGTCACCCTTGGCAAAACAGCACGCAACACACACCTTCCTCCAACACTTATTTATAAGTTATATTGATGGTAGTTTCCGGGCTTTTCCAACACGTTCAAGAATTTTGATGTACGTAATCGTGACGAGGCAAAATTAGGTTAAGCCCGGTGTAAACGGAAGCAACATTATTGGTCAAAACCCCCCAACATTGTTGGTGAGTTTTTTCGTCCGTTTGCATGTAGCGAAAAGTTTGACCGGTTTCAAACTTTGCGCAACAACTCCCAACATCACGCAACAACATGCAACAGGGGTGCAAATGGCGCAACGTGTAACATTCAACAATGTTGGGAGTTGTTGGCCAACAATCTTGCGTCCGTTTGCACCGGGCTTTAAGTGCACAATTCAGTTATCCGTTATAGGCTAGCACTCATCTCCATACTCCAAACTGACATTTCCCTTTTCCTACATGAAATTTCTAGGTTAGAATTCGAATTTCGAAGACAATAACGATAGGCTAGGAGGGTATGGGTTCCTGGATAGAACTTGTAATATTTCATAAGCATACTGTGCCCGCGCAAACGGAAGCCACATTGTTGGGTGTACATGTTACATGTTACGTCCGTTTGTACACCCCGGCTGTTGCTTGTTGTTGCGTATTGATGGGAGTTGTTTCGCAATGTTTGAAACTGGTCAAACCTTTAGCCCCGTGTAAACCGACGAAACATTGTTGGCCAAGAGTTTTTGCGCCCGTTTGCAGTTAGCTATAGGTTTGCTTCATGATATCTAGCCTTTTACACGTATTTCTCGGCAAAGATCGATTCTTTCACACTCCGTTTATCTTTGTTTATAAATGCGCCTCAGTAGGTAAAAGAAACTATTCTTGGTGGTAAAATTGCACTTTTGAAAGTTACATGACCAGCCATGCTCATAATTATGCACCCCTACAAAGCCAAGTGAAAGAGTTAAATCCTCTTTGAACCAAACCACCCTCCTACAAATTTCCTGTGACCCATTCTTCTTTAATTTACCCCCGAGTACAGTCGAATTCTTGTGTCATTTCATAACATTGGTTGTGAAGTTTTATTCCACAATTATTCAGTGAAATTTCTACTTTCGTTTATCGTCAACATGATGAGATCGAGACAACTTTTACTCCCTGATCGACGTACTAGGGAGTTTAAGCGGCGACGTTTTTGAGCGGACGTACGTCAACCGGAAATGAGCTCTTTTTTCTCTTTTAATATGCCTTGACGCTACCAAATTTGTGTTTCTAAGTGTCTTTACTCTTATAGAGACGATTTGCCCAAAAATTTGTTCCAAATCACGGCCGAAGGGTGCAAAAGTCCACTTCCGGTTGATATGCGTCGCTTTGGATTCTAGAGTTAAAACTGCAAATTTCTGCTTGACAACTCAATGTGCGTTATTGACGTAAGGTGAGGTCAAGATAGCTGGATATTGGCCGAGTTCTGTTTTGGGTATTTATGGACCGAGAAGTTGAGGTCAATCAAAACGCAGAAATGATAGAGGCCAATATAAATATCCATGCAAGCCATCTTGAACGAACAAGCGCGGTCAAACCTACATTGCTAAAAGATAACTTTTTCTTGCGGGACCGACCTCTGACAGAAATCGCTCTGGTAGCCAATCAGAACACAGGATTCACTTCATCTTGCCCGCTCGCGGATTCGGCAATGTATTAAAAAAATTTGCATACTGTAACGCCCGAATAACCCGACTAAAACCTAGTAACCTCGAGAACTCACGCAAAGTTTCCTTTTTACGTATTTCCTCAGTTAGATATAAAACCACAGGCAAAGATCGCTTTATCTTGCCGAATTCAGCAAAATTGCGAAGTTTTACCAGAATTCATCGAAATCTAATGGAAATAATATTATATGGGTCTCGAATTAATTCGCGAGTTTTTCGTAGTTGACACATGAATGTACTAATCAGTCCTTTCGTCCCCTCGTCTAGGGTAAAGAATTCATTTGAGAACAAATTACCCGGTCTCCGAGATTTTAGCAGTCAGGATAGCCGCACCTTGTACTTGGGGCACTGAGGGGCGAGGCGAGATCTCGGCGGAAGCCGGGCCAGCTCGGGTTAACCTAGATCATGAACCCAATTATTTAGGCACTCTTGACACCGCAGGACTTGTGTTAGACATGGGCCTGGAATACCCTGATGAACAAGATCTTTCTAAATGACCTAAATCCTAGCCGGCTTTGCGACTCTTATGGAAGTGAGAAAAAAAGACACTTTGTATGGTGTTTCCAAATCACTGTTTAACGACAGAGAATATGGATGTGAATATTGATTATTACATTCCTATCATCGGCAAAAAAGACAATGATTTATTATCACAACTTTAGCTTCTTTCTCAGAAGCAGCACGTGAACCTTTGGTTCTGTCTTAGGGCTTTTTTTTATCTGACTTACCTTGTGATAATGACGTCAACAACAGACCGCTTCAGCGTATATTACAGTGTAAATCAAAACGTGTTCCCGGAGCGAGCCCACTAATTCCACTTTTAAGTTTCGCATGAAAAGACTCGCAACTAATAAACGCTTACAGCGTAACGAAGTGAATAATACTGACAGCCCGATGGATTAATAAGGGGGGGAGGGACACAGCCTTGGTCTTTAGCTGGTAAGATCCGATTGGTCGCAGTTGTTGGCAGGTTATTAGCGACTTCGACAATACACAAAAAAAAAATAACAACTTACAAAAAGCTTCACTTGTCGCCCGATACCGCAATTCATAACTGTCGATGCCACAATTGGTAACCAAGCCTTTAGTCATGATGGATGTAACATATTCCCTGGATTAAGCTACAATAAGGCAAATAATACGTTTTTGAATAGTCTTGGAAAGAGCGATATTGAAGCCCAACTGTTAAATTTACGTTAAAAATTATGGAAAGGGCTAGGGTCACCTGATTGATGTAACAGTTAAGAAAGACAGTTTGCCAGTGTATGACATTTTTTTGCGGGTCGGTAAGGTAGTGTAGTGGTAAGGGAGAGAGATTAGAATACGAAAGGTCCGGGTTGGAGGTCCAGGTTCGAGCCTGGGTTGCGATTTTCTTTCCTTTTAATAGAAACCATTTCAATAACAGGTCAAAAATTTTCTAAGTGTCATAAAAATGGCAGCGACCGTTTCGGGTCAGGACAAGTGTCGTGGGTGAGCCGTTCTTGCCTCCCTAGCTAAAACCCTTAACGTTACTAATGGTTTGGCTTAGCCTGCATGGGCACCCAACGTCAATTTTCGGAAAATATCTGTTCTGAAGACGGTTTGAGATCTAGAATTTTCGAAACATTTGTTGGACATTTGTTGTAAAATTTCTTACTTGCCTGCCTCCCCTAGGATTTTCGAACATCTAAAAAATGGTATAATTGCCCATTTTTAACGGATTTTTACCCTAAAATGGTCACCTAGAATTTTCGGGAGCCTTTTTTCTGGCTGGTTTTTCTGGTTTTTGATCCCTATAATTTTCGGATCACTAGACTTTCAGCTAGGAAATCCGAACAGGTGAAAAGTTTTTAGGGGACTGATAAGAATATGACTATATCTACCGTTTACTGAATGGTTTTGAACTATATTCTCGTTGGTAGACCCTGAGCCTGCATAACCGAGGCGCTTCATGAGCCAAGCGAGGAAAAAAACGGCATTTTGCGCGAAGAGCGAGACGGGCGCCTATTATGCAGGCTAGTATGGCTTCACAATCAGCACAATACTGAGTACTTTGACCCCGTTTGTCCTGGCCCCAGTTGTTCAAAAGCTGGATAGCACTATCCACCGGATAAATCTTTATCCAATGGATAGTGCAATTGGCTTCCCTAATACTTATCCACTGGATAGAGATTTATCCGATGGATAGTGCTATCAAGCTTTTGAACAACTGGGGCCTGGCGTAATCTCGATCATGAACATTCACTTCAAAACAGAGGCTCCAGATTCCCTTTTCCCTTGGCGCCTGACCACTAGTCCTGGGTACCTTTCCCTGGCAGACACCAGTGGAAAAAGGTGATAGCAGTGGATTGCTTCGGAATTAAAAGGAAACGTGTGCACACAGTCAACCGATGCCGGCACAGGTACCCACTTTAGTGTCCTAGTACAAGATCTCGTTCAGTTGAGCGGGCACCGGTACCTTGCCCAAATCGGCTTACGTTGGAACATGGCTGTGTCGACATTAGTGGACAGCGAGTACCTTATGGGCACCGTGTCACCAAGGATTTTGTATTCATTTTTCTTTTATAGCCTCCCGTTGAAGGTATGTGTTGCAAACCGAAATATCGGGCAAATATAATTCACCACTTTATTTTTGTTTTCTTTCGAATTTTTTTTCAATCACTATTCCTGCCGTAAGGATCAGATTATTGTGTTAAGTTTAAAATTTGGTTTTCAAGATTTTACTGATCCAGGTCTGCCAAAAGATCCTGCGGAGTCTGACTGGTTTGTCGTTTTGGTTTTTTGCCTTCACAAGTGTTTCAGTGTCAACTCAAAATAGAGACCCAGCGGTACAGGCTCGAAAGGAGTACGGGAAAGGGCTTTTGCGCTTTTATCCCTCCCCCACCCGTCCCCTTCGTGGTTTGCGCCTAAATTCCTGGGGCATAAATACTACATAAATACTGTAACTGATTGATTGAGCCCTATATTTTATACATGGCAAATTTTTATAAAAGCAATTTGCGTTATTAGCTGATATTCTGAGCCTGACTCGAGCCCATCGACCCACCTCTATCGCCCCCGTTCCGTCAAGCCAAGCGTAAAAGGGAGGGTAAGGTAGCCTGCGTACTAAGCGTCTATAAAACGTCCTCCCCCACCTTTTTTATCTCATAACTTCATGTTAACATGGATTTTTTTTAATCGAAAAAAGCGCTACAGCTTCTTGACGGTCTTGTGGTCATGACACGTGAAGACGTGACCATGACTCTGTCACGGTTTCTTTTCTTTTGTTTTGCACAGAATCATACTTCATAACGTCTGGCCGAAAACGTGGGTACATTCACGTCGAATCATTTCTGCACTTTTAAGGCGGCCATGTTACGTTTGATTCATGCAACAGCTCGCTTAAGTAGATTCCAAGGAAGGTTTTTTTCTCAGAATGTGTGGAAATCAGGTCACAAGCGTTTGTCAGCGCTGAATGTTTGCCCCGCTGCCTCATCTCTTTCAAGGCGTCATTTTCACAACACACCTCAGCATCAAAGAAAGCTAAGGGAATATGATGATGTCTTCAACAAGTCTATTGAAGATCCAGAAGGGTTCTGGGGAGACCAAGCAGATGATATTGACTGGTATAAACCCTATACAAGGGTCATGGACAATAGTAATCCACCCTTTACAAAATGGTAGGTATACCGCTTTGTTGTTCGACAATGTCATATTCTATCTGCGTTATGTACGTCCTATATGTTATGATTAGCTACGAAGATATGTGGTTGTTTTCTAGTTTATGTGTGCTTTGATAAAAAGTATGCTTGTAGGATGATATGTATTAGTTTGTCTTGTTGAACTCTGCAGAGTGGTAATCAAGTGGCTTAGCGGTGAGGGAGGCGGGGGAGACTAGGGCTAGGTGGTGGTGGGTACGGGGATAGCAGGAGTGGACAGGGGAAAATTTTGGGCCATTAGCAACACGGGTTTAACATGGGCTTAAGGCTTGAGTATTACGAACAAAAAGAGAAATGATCTCAAATTACTCCAGAGCCATCTTTCAAAATAATTTTGGATACATTCATCATCTTGATAATGCCAATTTGGTCATTTGAAGGTTTGTCGGTGGTGAAATGAACACCTGTTACAACTGCCTTGACCGTCACATAAAAAATGGAAAGGGAAGCCGCACTGCCCTGATTTATGACAGTCCTTTGAGTGGCAAAATAGAAATGTACTCTTATCAGAACCTGCAGCGTCTGGTAAGTATATATACAACCTGTACATGTAGCATGACGGTAATGAAATGCCGGAGAGATTGAGGGTTGGTCAACTCAGTCTCCTATCAAAAATCAATATTTATTGTTATCCTATCCTCCTCTTTGGTATTGTAGGTTGAAAAGTTTGCTGGTGCTTTAGCAAGTCTAAATGTAGGGAAAGGAGACAGAGTGGTGATTTATATGCCAATGGTTCCTCAGGTAATCAAAATATTTTTCTAGCTTCAATTCCCCCTACCGCAGGGGAAAAAAATTGAGCCTCAACTCACCTGCTAATGGAGAAGAGGGAAATTTTTGCTCTACCCAACTTTACTTCATTCAAGATAATTTCATGATCCATGATGTTTCCATGAAAATTTCATGAAATCAAAGCCCAGTAATTGCCTAGATCTATAAAAGTAGCTAAAGTTCCAGGTTGGCTCTTAGGTTACCATTGAGATATAGTGGTAATTAAGAGGGTTACTGAAATGATACCCCCTGTACTCTGTGTTTAGCATTATTTAATTACTTGTACCTGCATATGATTGGTTTTGTGTGTTTTTTGATAGGCGGTCATTGCCATGCTGGCTTGTGCCAGGCTTGGAGCAGTTCATTCAGTTGTGTTTGGTGGTTTTGCTGCCCAGGAGTTAGCAAGAAGGATTGAGCATGCAGAAGTACAGCTTAACTTTTGCTTTCATTGTTTTTATCACACCATGTCCAGAAAAAAAGCTTTATTGGTCAATATGCAATTGATAATTCACAATAATAATTTATTTTAAGTCAAAAGAAAAAAAAAATGATAATAATTATATTCAAACAAATATTATCACATAAGATTATTATGGACTCTCATAAAGTAAATCCAAATTATTTGAAAGTTAAAATGTTTTTTTATAAATTGGTAAGTTAATATTTAAATCTTTCTGATATATTCGCAGCAATTTTTTATGCTTAAGAATAGACTGAACAAGTTCAGATGTCAGCCTATCTGGGATTTTCAGACCTGCCAGCCCCTGATCAAGGAAATCTGGAGACTCATGAAGAAAAATCTGAGTTTCTACAAAAAGGAGTGAGATTCTCATTTTTCCAGAACAAGATTAAACAAACCCTGTTTCCAGTGGGGGAGTTAATTGTTTTTTTAAATATAACTTTGTTTTAGTACAGGACCCACTTGCAACAAGATGCCACTTTTTAGTTCTTTGATAAATCTTAGAGGCCTCGGAAGAGGTAATCACTGGATGAAACTTACAGTAAATGGTCATTTCTTCTGGATAATTAATAATATGATAAAGATTCTTCTTCTTCTTCCTTTTATGATATGATGATGGTAATAATAATAATAATGATGATGATGATAATAATAATAATAATAATAAGCCCAAGATCAAAGCCTCCCAACACGCTCCCAACACAACATCCTCAAGATTAAGAAGCCTGACATGGACCCAAAATATAGACTGTGTGGCTGTTTCGATGAGACCATTGACCACCTGGTCTCTGGCTGCCCTGAACTTGCTAAAACTGAATACATCCATCGCCACAACAAGGCAGCTGCACACATGCACTGGACAATCTGCAAAGAGTTTGGCATTGAGGTGAAGGAATGATGGTATGAGCATGAACCCAAGACTGTCACCGAGAATGACAGCGTCACTATTCTGTGGGACATGCCCATCCACACTGACAGGACCATAACAGCTAATAGGCCGGACATTGTGCTAAAGAACAAGAAGGATAAAACCTGCCTTCTCATTGACATGACTTATACCCCTCAACACCAACACCTCAGTCAAAAGCACGGAAAAGCTTACCAAATACAAAGACTTGGAAATCGAGGTTGAGTGAATGTGGGGGCTCAAAACAACAACAGTCCCAGTGGTTATGGGAGCCCTTGGCACCATCAAGAAGGACATGGAAAGCTACTCCAACAAAATCCCTGGCAACATCAACATACGTGAACTCCAGAAAATAACTCTCCTTTCTACAATCCACCTTCTCAGGTGGGTCCTTTCCATCAAGTAGAAACCCTCTTTGCCTCCCAAAGTCCATGGTTTGAACTTGGATGTTGAGAGAGAAAATCAATCGGAATCACAGTAGTATATCTTATAGAATAATAATGGCAACTTCATGGCCAAAGTGCCATCAAGGCTTAAACAAGCACTAGCATTCCCCACAATCGTGAGAGTTGGCAGGTCTGGATTTTAGTTTGAAACATTGAGTGTTAGGTATACAGCTGTAATTTGACGGAAATTTTGTCCCTCAAATTCCTTTTCATTGTGTACTGATTAATAAACTTTTTTATTAGCCACGTGTAGTGGTGACTGCATCTTGTGGTATTGAACCAACACGTCTTGTGTATTACAAGCCTCTGCTAGATGAAGCAATAAGGATGTCAAGTCACAAGCCCTCTACTTGTATCATCTATCAGCGAGATCAGGTAAAGTTATAAAATTAATCGTAGCTAGCATAAAAAGTTCAGAGAGAGTAGAGTATGTGGCATATTATTGACAACAGAAAGGAAAAATCAACTTAAAGTTTTGTGACAGAGGAAAAATTACTCTGCATGAAAAATCTGGTGCAAAGAGTCTTACAAGTTAGGATATTTAAGACTTCCCTGAAAACCTCCTTGGAAAGTTGGGAATTATCATATATTTTGTACAAAAAATACATGTTACTGTTTAATCTTATTATACAATATTTTCAAGGTTAAAATCTTAAAAATCATATACACCAAGCATCTGTATGGTTCAATTTTCTTTGTGTTCAGTGCTCAGGTGACATCATTCCAGGGCGGGATGTAACTTGGGACCAAGTAATGGAGAAGGCACAACCACATGATTGTGTTCCAGTACTGTCAACTGATCCATTGTACATCTTGTACACATCTGGTACCACTGGTGATCCTAAGGTAACACAAAAACCTGAGATTTAATCATTTTCAACATCCATCATTGGGGGCCAGGGATCTCCTGACTAATAATTTTTACTGATGATCACTTTAATAGAAGTGAAGTTAAATTTAATTTTGTTTGAGATATGTTCAAGTTGATATGGTATTGGTTATGAATGGTCTCCGTATAGCAGTATTATAAAACTATAGTAATTATATAGTTAAAATGACATTTAGTCTTGCAATAACATAATAATACTAAGAGTAATAGAAAAGTCAAAATTCCTAATGTCATGATTTGTGTGTTCAAAAATGTAATTTTCATTGATGTTCCTTAGCACAAATTGATCTGAAATAAACTGCAATCCTATAGTGCAGCCCACTTCCAGAAAACTGCACCTACACTGTAGATTGAAATCATGAAATTAAAATTTTCACAGGAGTGTCGCCACATAGCATTCAAATTAGGAAAAATGGGTAATTAAGTACACTGCATAATTTGACTTAAAAACCAGATGTAAGTGGCTAGGAATCAATAAACATTACTGCTTGTGTGGGTGAACATTTTGACTTTTAAGCTTCAAGGTCAAAGGAGACTTGAAACAATTTCTCTTACATTTTTCCCCTGTTTGCTTAGGGCATTGTGCGAGATAATGGAGGATATGCTGTTGCCCTCAACTGGAGCATGTTCAATGTGTATGGAATCAATCCTGGAGAGGTAACTATACTATAACCTACACGGTGTGGGTCCTTTATTTTCCAGTGCCTTATGGAAAGTAGACCTGTTAGAATTGCCACAATCGTCTGTAGTCTGTTCCCTTTTTTTCCCATTGGCAGGGCATGATTAATACAATGTAACTACATTGTAAATCTTTGTCTTTCCTGCCCATTAAAATTGTCTTACTTATATCAGGTTTGGTGGGCAGCATCTGATCTTGGATGGGTGGTTGGTCATTCATATATAGTTTATGGACCGTTATTGACAGGTTGTACCACAGTTTTATTTGAGGTATGTTAAGCTTTTAGACCCCTGTTATACACTTTTCAGTAAAGATATCAATAATCTTAAATAAATACCATTCGCTTTCTTCACTATCTTTGTTTTCAGTTGTATAAAGCTGACTTCTGAGAAACTGGATGCTTTCTCTAGTATTCCTGATAACCTCCAGCACTTCCTTTTTTGCATATCTCTGTTGAAATAGAAGTTGCCCTCATATTATCTTTTTATTTCTATGGATAGTAGTGTCAGATTGTGAATTCCTCAGTCAGTCAGTCTGTTATAAGTGACAGTCAGTCAGTTAGTTAGTCAGTCCATCATAAATCAGCCTGTCAGTCATTCAGTCGGGCACGTAGGCAGTCAGTCAGTCTGTCCATCTGCCAGTCAGTCAGCAGGGCAGGCAGACAGACAGGCAGTCAATCAGTCTTTCAGTTAGTCAGTCAGCCAGGCAGACAGAAAGTCAGTTGGTTTGTCAGTCATTCAGTCAGGCAGGTAGGCAGTTATCTGTCCGTCCCTGCATCAGTCAGTCAGTCAGTTAGCCAGGCAGTCAGGACGTCAATCAGTGAGTCAGTCAGTAAGTCGGTTTGCTAGCTATTTGGTCAGTCAGAATTGAGTTGCGAAAAGGAGGTCACGACCCTTGTTCATTTAGAAATTAGCAGCAAATACAATGCATTCTTGGGCTAACTTTATCTGACAGAGACTCGTTACATTTGAAAAGTCAAAAACTGGTAAGTTCTCAGACTTAGCGGCAGCACTGTAGTGAAAACAAAATTCAAACTTCTATTTTTCATGCATGTGGCACCTTACAAATATGGTACAAAATTCGGGGATTAAAAAGCAAGAGTGGTTTGCTGACAACAGAATTAGTTGGTGGTGGTGTTGAAACTTTTTTTTCATTTGACTTTTGATCATTCAAGAATTAATAGAAAAGAAAAACAATTTGCTTTCGGGATTTATAAGAGGCTTAAACTTTTAACGACAAAATGTTACCGTAAGCTTAAGTTATAAGCTTAACTTTGAGTTCCCAATTAGCCAAGGTTTAAATTAATAGCTATACCAACCTTCAGAATTTTTTTCGCTCTGGTTTTGCAAACTTGTTTTCCTTTTTTCAATTCGTCTCTTGTCTTCTTTTCTGCGACATCTTCTGTTGAAGACGATGAAAAACAATATGCGTCTTGTTGTTTACATTTATCCCCCTTACATTCATTGAGTGGCTGAACCGCTGTAGGAATAGTATGGCAGTGCATTACTCGTTTCTTCATTTGAAGAACTGGTTCCAGCTTTTTCATCATTCCTGAGCTGATAGATGGGCCAGTCTTCTGAAAGCAATCAAGAAAATGTCAGAAGCTTTTATACAAGGTTGTAAGCTTACTCAAGCTAAACAATTTTTCAGACTTATTTGTAGAAGAAGCTTACCGCTCTGGAAGATTTTTCTTGGCGTTCTACTTTAGCAAAGCGCATTTCTCTTCTCTTTAATATTTCTGTTCCTGTATTAAACTTTGAAAACACAAAACACAGGAAAGTTTGCGGAAGAGTTTGCTTATTTTTTTTCCCGCCAAAACTACATAGTCGTCCGCACCGCTTGCCACACTGCATAAGCGCCAGGCTTTAACCAGGATATACACATCAGAAATATCTAAATCTTTTGATATAAGATTTGAGGAGGGGGGTGAAAATACAGGCGAACGGATCGGCAGAATTTGAAAATATTTTTGCCCGGATTTCGGATTCAAAGCGAGATTTCAACGGATTTCCGGATCCTGCAATTGCAGCGGATGTCGGGGATTCATCTATTTTTTGGGCCCGGATTTTGGACTTTGCCTGTATTTCAAATATTTTTGTCCGGATTTCGGATTCAGGGCGAAAATGGAAGGGCGGACTTGGTTTATAAATCATAACGGATCGGCGGATTTGCATACCCCTATTCACCCCCCCCGTTTGAGGTACTTTAGAGTTGTATAGCGGGCTAACCCAGTAGTCTTAAAGCATAACAGTACGTTTTTCCATTGTGTACAGAGGTAGTAGTCAATAATTTCTTTCTTAAGGGAGGCATTGGAATATAATTATAGAGTAAAAATCTTAGCAGGAGTATTTGAGAAGTCATTTGTCAGCCCATGTACGTTTATATATCCATTTTAAGGGTAAACCAATAGGAACTCCTGATGCCGGTGCATTTTTCCGCGTTATCGAGCAGCATAAAGTTGTAAGCATGTTCACTGCACCAACAGCTATCAGGATCATCAGAGCTGAGGTAAGCAATACTAAAGACACACTTAAGCGTGTATGGTGGGCGAAAAAAGGGGAAGGGAGAGGAGGGGAGGGGAGGGGGAGAAAAGCACAAAAGGGAAAAAGTCCCTTTCCTACTCTCCCCTTCCCTTTCGACGCCTGCCTCGCGGGATAATAATTTTTGTCCATGTAGCAGACGCTAATCCAGTCGTAACTTCCGCAAACTAGGGGACGTTTTTCTTTTGTCTCGTTGAGTACCAGAATTTCATGCTCGCTTTAAAATTCTGGACGCTGATTGGCTCATTGGAGTTATAATGGCCTATAAATGTAACGCACAATTTTCAAGCGTAAACCGTTTAATGAACTTTACCAGACTAATTTTTAAAATACCTTGTGATTGTATTAACTTTCCCATTAAATCTTATGTCGGTTCGGTTACGTCGATTTTGTGTCACTATTGTGCAAGACCATACAGTTATATCAGACTGACTTTAGTTTTATCATTGTAATTTTTTGTTGTTGTTGTTGTTCTGCTTATATAGGAAATAAAGGCATTTACTGGCTATAGAATGAACCAAAATTCTTCATACTGCACATGGTTACGCGTTGTGCTGCTCTTGGCTACGCGTGGTGCAGTTTTCGAATGTCTTTTTCATCCTGCTGCTGTATTAATATTAAATGTGTCGTTCATTTTTAATTATTCTAAATCCTCTGGTACCCAGAGTATGGTTTGAACATGGGGCAGCTTTTTGTCGCACATTTTTTCGGCCTTTTTCGTATGATTCCCTCTTACACTTTTCTCTGTTCATACTGTTTAGCTAATAATTGTGGCTTTCTTTATCTGTATTATAGGATCCGCAGTGTGAACTTATCAAAGAATACGACCTGTCTCAGTAAGTTCGAACTTTTCTCTTGTCCTCGCAGAAGTTAGGGAACCGGGATTGGAACAATCAGGAAGACGTAGATAACAGGAAGCCTTCAGGTAGAAAGACTTCAGTATAAACATCCCCTCACACTTAAAATTAAAGTGTAACATTACTCCAAAAAAAAGTGTAAAATCTTTGCCAGCCCCGGCAGCCTTTTTTTTCTGTGTATTATTACACATTTTATAATAGTGTAATTTAACACACAACTAGAGGTTATGTTTACACACCAATCAGTGTAATGTGAGTGGTTTACACTTTGGTCAAGTGTAAAATTGCAGTTCTTATAAGTGTAATAAAATACTAATAGAACAGTAATATTACACCGAATGGTAGTGTAGTAGCTTTGCCAGCCCCGGCAGCCTTTTTTTTCTGTGTATTATTACACATTTTATAATAGTGTAATTTAACACACAACTAGAGGTTATATTTACACACCAATCAGTGTAATGTGAGTGGTTTACACTTTGGTCAAGTGTAAAATTGCAGTTCCTATAAGTGTAATAAAATACTAATACAACAGTAATATTACACCAAATGATAGTGTAGTAGCTTTGCCAGCCCCAGCAGCCTTTTTTTTGTGTGTATTATTACACATTGTCCAATAGTGTAATTTGACACGCAACCAGAAGGTTCAGTTACACACCAAACAGTGTAACTGTGAATGGTTTACACCTTGGTCAAGTGTAAAATTGCACTTCCCATAGGGGTAATAAAACATTAACAGAAAAGTAATATTACATCAATTTATAGTATTAGGCAAAAAATTTACACATTTGAAAAATATAGGAAATCACATTTTTAATCACTGAATAAGCAGCTAGACTTCTAACAATAAGTAAAAATGAAAGGTCAAGTGTGCAAGCCATAGTGTGTACTGTCTAACTGCTTAGCAGTGATGCGTACTGTCCTATCACAAATCAGTGCTTAGGGCAGAGCCCGAGGAGGTTCAAGGTTTGAGCTGCAAGGTGGTACCCGGGAAAGATAGTTAGCAGGAAGTCTTCCTCTCCAATTATTAGTATTTTTACAGTCATGGTGTAATGCCTTTCCCACAGTAAAAATGGATGGCGGTGCATCTTTTTTGCTTCTTCTAGATATTGTCCTCTTGTGGCTGCAACCTGCGTGACAAATGAAATTGAAAAAAAAAAACAAGACTTGTTTTAGTCGATATTAAAGTGTTCTTAATTTATTGTATCGGTCATGAGGGTTGAAAATAGGACCGAGTGTTTTGGAGTTTCTTCTAATTGAACTAACACAATAATGCTCTCTTGAACAACATGGTTAAGGTAGACTACTTAAATTAAATTTCATTCACAAAATAATTACATATTAGGTTTAAGATGTAAAAAGGTTTTTTCTCTAGAGTCTTAACAATCAAGTACATTTTTCCTCCTCTACAAAACAAAACACAGCTTCAGATATTCAATTATTCAGATATCAAATCACAAATTAAAATAACTCAAAACATGTGTTATTCCAATCCATGACCCCCAGTAACACTATAGGCGGGCCAAACCACCTGACTGAGTCATTAGTCAAAGGCGGGCATGAAAATTACCACCTTGCATAACTGCCTGGCCGGTGGACCAGAGCCATGATGAAAACAAAACACACTATTAGACTTTATAACTTGGTATGGAAACAAAAGCTTGACTGGTATACAATTCAGATATCCGATCACAAAATTACTCAAAAAACATGTTTTATTCCAATCCATGACCCCCAGTAACAGGCGGGCAAAACCACCTGACTGAGTCGTTAGTCAAAGGCGGGCATAACCACCTTACATAACTGCCTGGCCGGAGGACCAGGGCCATGATGAAAACAAAACACACTATTATACTTTATAACTTGGTATCGAGACAAAAGCTTGACTGGTATACAATTCAGATATCTGATCACAAAATTACTCAAAAAACATGTTTTATTCCAATCCATGACCCCCAGTAACAGGCGGGCAAAACCACCTGACTGAGTCGTTAGTCAAAGGCGGGCATAACCACCTTACATAACTGCCTGGCTGGAGGACCAGGGCCATGATGAAAACAAAACACACTATAAGATTTTATAACTTGGTATCAAAACGAAAGCTTCACTATACAATATTACTCAGATATCCGATCACAAAATTGCTCAAAAAACATGTTTTAGTCCAATCCATGACCCCCAGTAACAGGCGGGCAAAACTACCTGACTGAGTCGTTAGTCAAAGGCGGGCATAACCACCTTACATAACTGCCTGGCCGGTGGACCAGGGCCAGGATGAAAACAAAACACAGCTATACGACTTTATGACTTGGTATTGAAACGAAAGCTTCAGATTCAATTCAGATATCTGATCACAAAATTACTCGAAAAACACGTTTTATTCCAATCCACGAGTCCCCTGGAAACAAGCGGGCAAAACCACCTGACTGTGTCGTTAGTCAAAGGAGGGCATGACCACCTCACATAACCACCTGGCCGGTGGACCGGGCCATGATGAAAACAAAACACAGGTAAAGTAATGAAAATGATATTAAGCCTTTTTAAGCCTCGTGCAATTACAGGTTTTTGTCTGCGAAATCACATATAAAAATTAGGCAAGCTTAATATATTTTTCTGGTTTGGATTTATCTCTATTCTACATATCAAATACAAGTCGATGTACAGGTCCGGTACGAATAGCCACTAGGTATAATGTTAGAAAAATAAATAAAGATAACTTACATTATATCAACATTTGGGATCAAAAGGTGCAAAATTCTGTGTTTTATGAAGCATTTCTACCGATCATTTGAATAGTAAATGTATGGAATCAAATGTCGCGCGTGACATCACGATCCCCCGAACAGTTCGGGTGGTACGCTTGTAATACACGTCTTTTGTTTGCAAAGAGCAAAACCACTCGAATTAAAAGTAATTAAATTCGCTATAAATATTTAAGCTTCAATTTGTGTCTGCAAAAACAACAAGGTGATACAATGCAGTCTTCGCTGTTGACGTCATGTCACGCGACCTTTTGGCGGTTAAAAGCAAACGAACAACCAACGGCAATATTCACAAAACATTTCAGTCAGCTTATATCCAGTATTTATATTTCTAATGTTAGTCGTATATATCTGTCTCCTGTCAGGCTATTCTCCTAACAAGCCTAAACAAAAATTTGAGGCGAAATAGCGAGGTTATCTTAATTTCAAGATTTCAAAGCTAAACACCTCACAATGCGCTTTTGATATCGCATCGCGCTCTCCCACAGTAGGAAAACCGCTCAAGGTGTTGCAGTACGGTAAAACAATACTTCAAAAGCCTCAAGAAATCTAGGGCCAGACTATAGTTTTAACATAAAACTCAGAAATTACGGAAAGTATACTCACCTCGAAATGCGAAATGCGCCGTCGTTATCTTTGAACATGTTTGAATGCATGGTTTTTGCTCTCTTCTTAGCAGTCATTTGGAGCCTCCATCATCCTTTGCTCTAACAATCGGTCCTACATCCTTGTTAACTTGAAATCAATGTTGACTTTGAGTTAAAATCTTCAAATTTAGGGCGCTTAATTTTAGTACAACCTTCGTGGAGGACGGTTGGAACAAAAGATGAATACAAACGGTATTCAAGTGTCTTTATCGGCAACATCATCGATCCTGATTGCACGAAAATTCGCGTCCTGTCACTTAAGCTCCTGGTGACTGACTATACGTGATCTTTGGATCTGCTGCGGCTTTTGACTCAGTCACGTAATTTATGTTGCTGTAAATTTCCTCTTTGAGAACACGCGGAAAAGGAACATGGTCTGAATTAAATCGATAGTACGAAGACAATGGACAATGAAGAAAAAAAAAAAAGAAAAGAAGAAGAAGAAAGAAACATAGTGTTACATTTCTCAGGAAAGATAGAAACCCGCACAAATGACAGTCCTGTCAATGGAGTGATGCATCGTTAGCGGTTTAGGTCATTTCATTAATTTAGCTAAAACACCTTTCAATTTACACATGTATACAAATGCAGTTGCGTGAATTTCGTACGATATATCTGAAATGAGACCTTAGACTGCAGCTGAAGTATATACCTGCTACATGTACAACTAGCGGCTCAGATAAGTTATTCACGCGATGAAGATTTTCTTGCTTCGATATTTTTTTTTTTAAAAGAGAGTGGGTGTTTTATTCTATAAATGTATAACTGCACATGTGAGTGCATAATTACCTCCGCTGTGGTATACATTTACTCTGTAAGTAAATGTTAAAAATACCTATTGTTTCAGCCTAAACGTGGTGTAAAAATACTCAAAATAACGAGTATCACTACACCATAATTTCTGTGTAGTGTTTTACACCATAAAAAGTGTCACTTTATAATTTTTCTTTTCTAACAATACACTTCAATTTTAACACTTTTAGTTGGTGTTAAAGTACCCGAAAAAACGAGTAACACAACACTACAAATTGTGTAATATTACTCTGTGTTATTAGTATACTCTAACACCGATAGGTGTGTTTAATTCTATAAGTTTATTAGTGTAAAATTACCTTTACTATGGTATACATTTACGCCGTAAAAACGGGTAAAATGTACACCGTACCCTGCGTGTAATGTTACAATAGAAAAAATTGTAAAAGTATACCTTCAACTGTGTAATATTATCATGTTAAGAGTTACAGCTCTTTTACACTAAAGTTTGCGTAAAATTACCCGACATAAAGCGTAACACAACACTGAAAATTCTGTGTAACGCTTTACTCGTTAAAAAGTGTAATATTACAAATTTTCCTTTGTAACATTACACTTTAATTTTAAGTGTGCTCTTTTACCTTAGTCCGTCAAGGAAACTCGAGAGAGAACAAAACTGGTCACGCGTGACTGAAGGCGCGAGGCTCGCGTGTTTAGCGTACCACTCCACCAACGGTGTAGAAATAAGGGAGTTTTCTCGTAGTCTTCCAGGTAGACGACTTGCCAGAAGACTTTTAGGTACGTAGTAAGTGTGAGAGGAATTTGTGCAAAGATTAAGATAGTAGAATTTTGCCGAAAGTAAGGAGTCCCCGCAGCTCACACATAACTTTCAGGTAGAGGTCGAATCTTTACTGGTGGCCAAGAAACACCTCCATCTCTTGCGGCAATTTACTCTCTTTTATATAATTATGACAAAACTGTATAGATGACACTTCTGTATTATGTGACCAATAAATAACGAGATCAGAACTACTACTAATCCTTCAGATCATACGAAAGCCGGCTATTTCTTCTTAAAAAAACCGTGTAAAATGTTTCTCCTTTTTTTCCAGCTGTACAACGCAGCTTCAATTCCCTAGGGCTACTCGTTTGCCGTACCTTTTTTCTGCCGATAGGCTGTACTATTGACGTCAATTCACCAGATATCCCGGACGTATTCCAAATGTAGTCAACACTTGAGCTGTAAAGAATTAGGCGGGGAATTTCATCCAATCAGGAACGGACAAATATTTTGAATTAATAAAATTATAAGTTTACGTACCTTTCCGAAACACTGGTTCAGTATAAGATTCTGAGAAACTCCCCACCACTTTCTCCCCTGGCTCAACATTTTACCTTAAGTATGAAGTTAGCATTATTCTTTTACAGAATAGATATACACGGTCTTGTGTGAGCACATCCTAGTATACTTGCGTAACGTTCTTGTTATCTTTAGCGGCCATAGGCGAATAGCTACAGTAGACCAGAGCGTATGTATGAGACTAGAGTATCACTTATATTTGTTGTCACCAGTTTCCGAGATTTGTTTGTGGCTGGCGAGCACATGGACAAAAATACTATGGCATGGACAAGGAAAGCTATCAGCGCGCCTGTTTACGACAACTGGTGGCAAACTGGTAAGAACTCAGTCGTTTAACCCATATTTTTACAGCGGTAGTTTGCCGAGGCCGTAAGTCTATGCCAGACCATGTTCAGCTGTAGTTTGCAAGATTTTTATCTTCCCGAGTCTTTTCTCACGTAGGACTAGGACAGACATGCCCTAAAGCGAAGAGCTTTAAGCTTCGATAGTAAATAATTATTGGGTAGAATCAGCCTTTGTGGATGCCAAAAATTAATGAAATAAGTTAATTTCTTTTGGTAGAAACCGGCTGGGCAATCACAGCTCACGCGGTGGGACTGGGTCGACCTATGGATGAGCACTTGGAGACCACTGGGAAACCTGTTCCGGGATTTGATGGTAACAAGACAGTGTGCATGCTTTCTTAGCGTAATATAGGGAAATGTCTGGGCACAAAGTGTTTAGGGTTTATACAACGGTTTCAGTTAAATACAAATTTCCGGTAGGGTTGGTGTGGGAGGTGGGCAGGGTGGGGTGATGGGTGGAGGACTGATAGTTATTTCAGTACAATTTGGAATTGATAGCTCCTCGTAATAGATATAAGTTTCTGCCCTTAAAGGGTATATGCCAGATATTTATATTTGCTAGTTAAAATCTGAACAATCACAGCTCAATGTCCTGATAAGTATAGCAAAAAAATCGATATTGATTTTTCTTTCCCGTGTTTTGACGTGCTAAAGACTTGTTATTTTACTTGCGGAGGGGTACCAAGCCTCAACTAAAAACAGGAGACTGGGAATGATTGTGACGTCCTTTCAGGGCATTCTTTTTCGTAACAAGTAAGAAACGACAGGGAAATTTGCTTGCCGTGATAGAAAATGTCCTGACATAACTAGTCTTAAGAAATATCTTGTTCCAAATCATTGTTTTACATTGACTAAGGCAGCGGGAAGGCTGCTAAAAATTCAGCTTTCTTGTAAATACCTTAAAGGTGGATACGATAAGAGCTTCTACCATAAAAACTGACCGCTTAAATAGTAGCGATACAATTACTGTACTGTTCTTTAGCAATCCCAATGAATGAAGAGTTTGATATGCCCACCACTGTTTTTGTTTCCAGTGAAGGTTGTCAAGGACGATTTGACCGAAACCGACCGTGGAGACCTGGGTCAAGTGGTAGTCAAGTAAGTGAGTCCGGGATTCGTCAAACTCGCTCCCAGGGCTTTCTCCTTGTTGAAAATAACTGCACTTTGAAGCGTGAACCAACGTTTTATGATTTATAGCTGTGAACCAGCTTTATTTCTTTTCACAAACACACTCAAAGGTACCGCGATCTTATAATTTGCTTAAAATCTGAACTAAGTGAGGACAAATTTGAAATTTCTTTGTAGTTCCACGATGAAAAAATCCTTGTACCTCATTGGTTTTATTTTCGCGATTTTAACACGCAGATATGAAAAGGGGGCATTAACTTTGGCGATTTAAGCGTTCTCAACTTCATTTTATTTTTTAAAGAGTATGAAAGTTTCCAAATTACAAAACGGAGCTTACCTGTAAAAGAAGTTAACAAGTTTAATATATTTTCTATACTTATGATGCTTGTGTTGTTGTTATTACAAGTTAATAAATTTTTTTCCTGTGATTTTAATTTTTTATACGAGTATTTAATTTCGGCTGCTTAAATCTCGCGAGGATTTATTTTCGCGGGTCTTTATTCCAAAAACGCGAAATTGAAGACCCGCGAAATGTAGTACCAATAAGGTATTTCACTTTATTTTCTTTAAAGAGGAACTATCGGGAGAATCCTATCTTTTTCTCTCACCCCTCAGTTTTCAAAAAAAACCAAAAAAAAACACACAAAAAAAAAACGCTAGAAAACTGAAGATATACTCACTAAATACAATGACTAACTCACAAATAGCTCGGTGCCTATAAAACGCATAGGAATATGACCACTTGATTTCACCGTCTTGGTTTTACAAACAAAGCCACTTGACTCAAGTCATCAGTGTTTGTTGTCACAATTAACTGTCACGCGGTCCACCTATTTCGACCTATTTCGGTAGTGTGTCCTCTGGAGTCAGACAAAGTGAATTAAAGTACTGTGAGACGGAACCTTAACCTCGTTTCCAGGATCAAGAGACGAGAAGGAGTAACCCTGGTAACGAGCTTGACGGAACTACGGTTTTTCGTCCTTATCAGGGGGGAGCAGGAAAGTCTGACCATTTGCAGATGTAAGAGCAAAGGCGGCACTTTTTCCTCCGTTAATATTAAGATAATCTTTTACTCACAGGCTTCCCCTTCCACCTGGTACCATGACAACCCTTTGGAAGGCTGATGATAGATTCGTCAAGACGTACTTCACTAAATATCCTGTAAGTGTCTTCAGAGCGCAGCATAAACTTAAATCAGAAAACACACTTTATTCCGAAACCATTGGTTGCACTATTACTTTTATTTCATATTTTTCTTAATTCTTTCTCTTTGCCTCGATTGCATTTGCAGAATTTAGAAAGAACTTCTACTTTGAAAAGAGGCATTGCGGGCTAATGATCATGAAGACAAAAGAGTAAATTTAAAGCCCGATACGGACAAAGCGTTTTCTAGACAGCAAGGTGTAAACCTATGACGCAATGTCGATCATAAAAGTTCTTAAAGTCGTTCAGTGTTGCTCGAATGAAAACGTTTGACGAGTTAAAAGAAGGAGGAGAAATAGGAAAGAATACCTCTGGGACCCGGACAACAAGATTAGAGAACTGAAAACTAAAAGAATTGAAACTGATCTTTATGACACTTACAATAAAGTAGGGAAAGGTCAAACTGTTTTAGCGTCAGCATTCGAACAAATGCGGAGTTTTTTAAATATATGCTAGAGATAACTTGGTTCACCTATGTTATTACCTAGTATATGTTCCTATGCATTTTCACTCAGGGATATTATGACTCCAGTGATGATGGAGTAATGGATGAAGATGGATTTGTGTCAATCATGGCACGATCAGATGACGTCATAAACGTCGCGGGTCACAGAATTTCTACTAAGGCATTGGAGGAGGTGAATGACGTTACGTTTCCAATTCGTACTAAAGCATTCGACCTTACGCTCGACTGGTTTCATTTCATTTCCTTTTATTTCGTCAGTTTGTATTGAATCATGTATAGGAATTTTCCTGTTCCACTACTTCCAAAAATAAGATGCTAATGCAGCGTATACTTGGGCTTCTACGTGATTGGGAACGTTTTAGTCAGTTTAACGAAAATAACCTAGCATTTGCGCTAAGATAAAGCTGGCATGCGCGGCACTTGGCTCTCGATACTCGATTATTGCCAACGAGCAGTCTCGCGAAGACGCGAGGCTGCGAGGCGGCAACCTAATAGAGCCGTGCGCGATTGTTCCAGAGGCAGAAAAATCTCGAATTGATGTAACATAGAGTAATGTAAGGCAACCATGACGTAATGCAGGGCAGAAAATGCATTGTTTTCGAGCAAACACGTGATACAGATCAGAGAATCCACGAGCCGTGTGCGTGTTTGTGAGTCCCGTGCTCATCCCTTCTTCAACCAGTCGTCGGGTGGATCATTTCCATCCTACGCTATATCTGTCGCATTTGCCCGCTGGAATTTTTTATTGCATGCCGCTAAGAAAAAAAATAACGCAGCGAAATTTTTTGTGTCTTTGAAGCAAAATATTTCGGAAGGCTTCATTGGCGCACCATAATTTTTTTGTAGCTTTAAAATGAGACCAAATATAAGTCTGTCCGTTGAATATTCGCGGACTTTAATTTGATTTTTCGAGGATTTTAAGTCTGCTTATAAGACCACTAAATTTTACGCGAAATGACTTGTGCCGCAACTTTGGACAAAAACACGAACTTCAATATCTCGAGAAATTTGCTGCGTAAAGTCAGGATTTCAAATTCTTTTTGCAGCAGAACAGTTTAGTTCACTATTTTCAAAAGACAGATTAAAGCAAGGAGCACACATACAGCAAACCCATGATCCGCCTTCCCCGCGCATGTCGTGCAAAGAAAGGGTCTTTTATACACCGGTTTTCCGCGGTCAATGACCGACGGCTATGCATGCTGATGAGCCCCATTAAGGGCAAAACAGCTGTCCATGGCTGCCACTGCCCGCGTGATATGGCTATGCGCATGCGTGAGGTAATCTCTAGGCCGTGGGTTGGTGTATGTGTGCCCCTTGCTTTAATTTACTGGTAACTCGTGATCCACCTTCCCCGCACATGTCGTGGTGTAACTGCTGTGCGGTTCCTAGCCAACAGCTCCCACATAATTATGTTGTGTGAAGCTGGCGCTTGATAGACTGTTCTGCACTCACCTCGGCAGTAAGGGGTTTTTGAGACGCGGGTTTTCCCCGTTCATTGACCCAACGGATTTGCCACGCTGGTGGGCCCCAACGAGGGCGAAACAGCTCTCTATGGCTGCCACTGTCCGCGTGATATGGCTATGCGCGGTACTGTGCGAGGTACTGGCCCGGCCGTGGGTTGGTCTATGTATTCCCCTTGCTTTAAGTTTGCACTATTTTCAAAGCAATCGAATTAAGTTCAATCAATTTTCCATCAATTATTGTATTTCATGACATTTCTAAACAAATTCAACAGCGCGCGCGTATAGGTAAAATCTTTGCTCGTTGGCACTTAGCGATAGCTATAGCTAGTTATTTAGATTCAAAGAAAATGAAATTCAAAGCACTTCGAACTTATGAGACGTAGCGATACTCACTGTTTTCAAATTTTTTGCTATTCAAATGTGTAACGACTGAAACAAAAAAATCTTTTGGTTGAAAGACCAAAGCGCTACTGGTTGACACTATAATATCAATATGTGACGTCAGAATAAGTATCGCCACAGCCCAGGTAATAATTCTCGCGGCTTCATCGACCTCCCTATTAGTTTGAAGTTGCGTCACATGTAGTAGACGATAGAGACAACCCTAAGTGATTTAGCGCAAACTCGTGTCAAGCTATTCATTTGCTTTAACACTGTTGTGTCTATATTCCAGGGAATGATACGCCTTGATTTCGTGGTTGACGCGGCATGTGTTGGACTAGAAGACCCCATCAAGGGTCACGTTCCTGTTGGATTTATTGTTATCGACAAAAGTAAGCTTAGTGCAAATGTTCTTTTAAGTTAAATTACCTGCTCATCGTGGACCTGTCTTAAGTATTCGCGCTCCCGCGTTTTGTTTCCGTTTTGCGCTCGCTCCCGGCCAGATCGCCGTTCTTGCCTATTGTATTTCTGACCAATCAGAACCATGCTTTGCCGATTCTGATTATTCATTGGTGGTTGTTGGGAGGACGATGCAAACGGGACTCTTTAAACGACTGGAAATTAAGCCTGGGCGCTTCTTCGACGTGCAGCGAGATATTAAGGATCTTGAATTATTACCTTTAGTAGGCTCGCTAGAACTATAGCTCCTTTTGGTTAGATTTTACTTACGATTGTTGTTTTGTTTTTCAAGTCTATGACAGTATCGTCTAATCTAGTCTGAAATTAGGCCGCCTGTGACATTTCATTTTCTTTGTATGCTTAACTAATTTTTCTAATTCATTAGTTATCTTATTTAATTATTTAGACACGACCCCACAAGCGAAGCGTCGCTTTAAATACTTATCGTGTATAAATAAAGATTATTGATTGATTGATTGATTGAACTCAGAGCGAACCTGACAAAACAAAAATGGAAATAAGGAAACTGATTTAACACATTTTTGGCATTTGCCTTCGTTCCTTTAGTAACATTTCTGAGATAAAGTCCTGGCTCCGTTTGTTTAAACGATGGATAGCGATATCCACCTTATAAGTCACCATCCAGTGAATTAGTATTAAGGAAACTAATTGCGTTATGCAGTGGATAGGGATTTTCCAGTGGATAGCGTCAAACACCTGGGACCTTTTGGATTAGCAACTGCAAGGTCATTGGACGCTACTAGATAAGTTCTAATTATCTTCATCAAGTGACCCCCTGTTTCGGGCAGTGTAAACTTTGATTCGACATAGCAAAGCATAGTTTTGAGACGACATTGTGTATTTTAATTCAACAGCCATTCCTATAACAAGAAAAGAAGCAATCGAGCAAGTGATAAAGAGCGTACGAGAGTTTGTTGGTCCTGTGGCGTTCTTCAAAACTGCCCTTATTGTACCTTCTCTACCTAAGGTATAGTAAAATCTTTCAGTGAATGTTTATGCTGTAAAGTGAATGAACAACAGGATTTTTCTCAGGTTTAAAAGACCAGGAATAGTTTAGTGGCTTTAGCGGAGGTCTGCGTCCCGATGGCGCAGGTTTTCTTACCCATGCTGCTTTTCGCGTGCAGATGGCACACCCAAAAGGCACCATGGGTAAGAAAACCTGATCTCTCGGCAAAACTTTGGAATGGCACGTGACCGTCCGTCTGTCCGCAAACGGTTCGGTTCGGTGTCCACAGATTTTGAGTCCGAAATGTTACGTGATTACTCTGTATCGAAATGAATGTTTATGGCTTAACTGATGTTATAAAACTCCTGCGAAACAGAACTCCTTAAATCTAGTAAATTTATAAACATTTATGAATATGGAAAAAAAAACCAATCTGAACCGAGCCTCAAATAATCTACAATCCATCGAGGTCTCGTGTTATTAAGCTTTTCCAGTCGTTTAATTACCTCGAGTTCTTCTTATCGATATTAACATAAAGCCAGACAGAGGTGTATTGGCTCAGAAGACAACGGATTCTTTTGATTCAGTGGTTGTGTAATTTGAAAAACAAACAAACAGCTCTTGTAAACAAGAAGTATTTCAATTGAGTCGTTTGATGTGGCTACAGTGGTCGTTCATTTCACACTCAGTAGTCTTCATTACTTTTCTCAGACCCGCTCGGGTAAAACAGTCCGAGGTGTGCTGACAAAGATTCTTCACGGGAAACCTTACAGGGTAAGAAAGATTAAACTTTTTAGTTTGTTTGATGACGGAGGTTATGGTAAAAAAGAATAATAATAATGACAAGCGTCTTTTGCTGGGTTTCACAGACGGCATAGGTTCGACGAAGAAGTATCTTGCACCTAAAATATGAAGAAAGTTCAGCTTGGGACGTAATTTAGACCATTCAAATAAGCGCTGTTGAGTAGTACTTGCCTGTGGAATTGTTTACTATGCCGTACAAGGTGGTTCTAATATTTGAGTCTGTGGATGAAATCCTAAAGTGCGACCATTCAAATGAAACTGAGCTAGTACTTTCCTGTGGTATTGTTTATTATGCTGCACGAGGTGGTTCTAATATTTGAGTCTGTGGATGAAATCCTAAAGTGTGGCCATTCAAATGAAAGCTATTGAGCAGTGCTTTCTTGTGGTACTGTTTATTATGCTGCGTAAGGTGGTTCTTACTTTTGAGTCTGTGGCTGCTATCCTAAAGTGTGACCATTCAAATGAAAGTTACTAAGCAGACTTGCCTTTCATATAGTCTATTATGCAGTACAGGGGGCTAGAAGTCTCTATCATAAATTCCAGGACTTAAAGTGATATGGCTTTTCCCATTTTCGGTTTGCACTGAAAAGTAACAAAACGCTCTCGGAATAGGGCGAAGTGCCTCTGAACGAAAAGGTTTTGGGTATTAAATATTTCCCTGACCTTTTTCTAGTCGTTGTTTGCTTACTAAATATGATATCAGACAAGCAAATTCGCTTTGATTCTTAGATATACAAATTCAATTCAAAAAAAATTTTCATTTCCAATTTTTCGTTTCCCGCTGTAATCTTAATTTGGATTCCGATGGGAGATTGCCGAGTGTCCACAATACAGAAGGGTATTTGTTATAGTGTCAGGAATTATAATGACGTTTGATATCGCTGGGGCCAAGAGACGTTAGTGTAGAGATTCAACTGTATCCGTAGTTCAACCGCCCCCCGCCCTCCTCCCCACGGTGAAAGTACACGGTAAACTTAAGGTTTATGGGTTCTTCTGCTTTTCTCCTCCCCAGATCACCCCAACAATGGAGAATCCGCACGTACTGGAGGACATTGAGGAAATCGTTCGCGAGGAAGGAATCATTGATCGTACACTGCCGCACTAAATAGATGACATGCAGATACAATGCATAATAGATAGAAATAGTTCGCTTTATAGATAAAATAGAGGTACATAAAAAAAATCTATAATCTGCGACAATATATAATTTATGAAACTCTTAGAGGAATTTTTCTAGAAAACAGCTACCGTGTAAAAAGTTAGTGGTTTTGGTGTTATTGTATAAATACTCCATTGCGTTCTTGACTTTCAATAGAACAGGTTCACCAGTCCCCATCAGTGATTTGTTACATATAGTTATGGTGAGTCCTGGGACTCATCTTGTGAAAAATCACGAGTCCCAGTCCAGAACCAGTGAGTCCCAGTTAAAAAAAAAAACAGTCTGAAATTGAAAATGCTTGGGCCATTATGTAACTAGACAGTTAATCTGAAGTACAGACTCCAAAACGCTGTATCACAGTATACTAAAATTAAAATATAGTCCTTCTATTTTAAAGCTCAACAAAAGCTAAAAGAATTGTGCATCGTTAAACAACACCCATAATATCTGCCAGAGAAATTACACGAAGGGGATATTTTTACAAATACACATGCTCAGATGGATCGATCTTTGCGTCCTACGGGACGCATGCCATCTTTGGGGATTTTCATGCGTCAGGGACGAAGGACGCAGAGGTAGCAAATTCACTGCCCTATACCATATCTTATTCTTCGGAAAACGGAGACCGCTATACGTCTGGGAAGGAGTGCAATGCACCCTTCCCTACATACCACTCGCGCTGCGTTTCAATACCTGCAAACGAGGCAGGTATTCAACAAACACGAAGTTAAGGCTGCAGCAGGTTTTTATGTGAATAAGTATTTAGAAAACAAGTCGTTTGTCATTATAAATGTCTTTTTTTCTCTTTAAATTTTGACGTTGGAATAAAGCGTCATTACAATAAACACCCTTTAATCTTTGCTGTAGACGACGTATTCTCTTTAGTGAATAAACATCGAAATAGCCCTTAACACTTTGCTGATACCTTAACTACCCAATTGGCCAAAATTACAAGGTGAAATCTAGCCGATCACCCCTTTGAATGTTATCCCCCCTCATAACTTTTGATGACCTTCCGCGATCCCCTCCATGTCTTCATTTTCCAAGCAAATATGAGTGGTCCCCCCCTCTGAATCCTACCAAAGTTTTCAGCGATCCCCCCTTTTGGGTTCTCAGTTACGACTGATCTCCCCTTTTGTTCTGCTATAAATGAAGTGATCCTCCCCTAAAATCCTCCCCCCAACGCCCCGAAGGCGATAAATAATGACCGGTCAGTAGTATAGGAGGGACCGAATTAACCCCTTTTTTGCGGAGGATTCTCATTAGAGTGCGGAGGAATACATTAACGCCAATGACGTCATAACCTTTTGTCTTGATCTCATGAATAAAATGCGCAGGAATCTCATTAACTTGCGGTGGAATCTCATTAAGTATATCCAGTTTGACGGGTTTATCAATGATGTCATGTTCTATTTTTATCTTGTGGCGGTCATGGTTGGTATAACCGGTTTGACAGGTTTTAGTTATTTTCGGAAGATAATGTCATATGTATTCCGGGGTACTATGATGTCATAGTTGTTTTGATTGGTTGACCGGAATTTGAAAGACGCTCATGTGGCTGTCTCGTTTGACGAAGCATTCTGGTTGGTTGCCGTATTTTTATTGTTTGAACGGCATAAAAGTGTGCTCACATTCCACACACATCATTCACAAACTGTGTGATTCAGATCTCACCCAGATTCCACAGTAGCTATATAAGTAAACATCAAGAGGAAAGAAATCATTCGGGTTTGACCCTTCATAGCGATCATCAGCGATGGGTTGCTGTCCTCCTTCGTCCACTTTTGGATTTGAACACATCTTCAATCGCATACGTTGTGTATTAGCTTGCTGCGGGGGTAGAGTGGTTGTACAAAACTCCGAATTTTGTGATGGAGAAAAAACTAGCCAGCATCTACCTCGACCCAAGTCAACCCGCAAGTTTCGGTGGTTTAGATGCTGTTTACAGAGCAGTCAAAGAGAAAGGAAAGAACAAGATATCGCGTAAACAAGTTCAAGATTGGTTGAGTCAGCAAGATGTTTATACTCTTCACAAGCCCGCGCGTAGACATTACAAAAGAAGTCGAGTCATCGTTCCTGGTATTGATGCACAATTTCAAGCAGATCTGGTCGACGTTCAAAATCTCAGCCGATACAACAAGGGATATAAATACTTACTGACGTGTATAGACATCTTTAGCAAGTACGCTTGGGTGGTGCCTTTAAAGACAAAACAAGGCCAAGAACTAGTCAAAGCTTTTCAGATGATTCTATCTTCTGGTCGTAAACCAAACAAGCTTCAAACAGATCAAGGCACAGAGTTTCTAAATCGCGTGTTACAGAAATTTTTACGTGACAACAACATTGACTTTTTTACTGTAAACTCTGGGCTCAAGGCCTCGGTGGTGGAGCGTTTTAACCGAACATTTAAGAACAAGATGTACAAATATTTTACAGCTAAGAACACTCTCACCTATATCAATGTACTACCCCAATTAGTATCCTCTTACAATAACACTTACCATCGCAGTATTAAAATGAAACCGAGCAAGGTAACTAAAAAGAAGGAAGGTAAAGTGTGGGATACCTTGTATGGGGATGATGTTCAAAAGCCTGTGCGATATAAATTTAAAGTCGGAGATCGCGTGAGAATCAGCAAAGTGAAGAGAATGTTTGAAAAATCTTACTTACCTAATTTCACGGAAGAAATTTTTACTGTTTACAAGCGAATGACTCGTCAAGTCCCCGTTTATAAACTAAAAGATGATGCTGGTGAAATCGTAGATGGAACATTTTATGAACCCGAATTGCAGAAAATAATTAAGAACGATGATGTGTACCGTGTTGAAAAGATTTTGCGCAAGCGAAAGCGTAAAGGAATAGTTGAATACTTTGTAAAATGGAAAGGGTACCCAGACAAGTTTAATAGCTGGATAGCAGAAAGTAATATCTCAAAGTTGTAACATTTTGTGTGAAGCCAATAAAAGGGTTATTTTAACTGAAAACAAATGTTGTTGTGTATGGTTATAAATTAAGAACGCCAGGAATAAATGTTCATTTGAACACACGATACGATGGAGGTAACACAGTTTTACCTGCATCTTCCAAGCAATAGCAGCCTCGATAAGTTTCCCAACAACACATTAACGGAGTACCATGTTGGTTTACCTCAAACCGTTAGCTTGACGGGGGACTGGGAAGTAGCGTTAACAGAACTTCATTATCCTCACAGCTGGAATAATGTCCCAGGACATTTTGGTAATCGATTCTTCCTTCGGAATCAAGAATTGTCCGGAGTATGGGAGGTCCTAATTATACCACCGGGTCATTATTCTTCCATTGAAGATATCTTATCAAAGATGAAAGGGCTGATCGAGAATGTAAAGCGTTTCAATAACGATGTAACACTTTCCTACGATACGTTCACTAGAAAGGTGACTATTCACCTACAAAATAACGTAGAACTTTTCTTTGGTAACATTGGATACCTGCTGGGATTTTCACCAGAAGAAATTATTTCTAATACCTCTACCGCTGAAAGACAAGTGGATTTGGAGTATGGCTTTCACGACCTTTTCATTTACTGTGATCTTATTCAGTCACAATATGTTGGAGATGCATTGGTACCTTTGCTTCGAATTGTTCCCGTAGAAGGAAAGGTCGGGGAGCGAGTCAGTAAATCATTTTTGCGCCCCCAATATTTGCCTGTCAGCAGAAAGCAATTTGAAACCGTCGAAGTCAATATAAAGCGAGACACAGGGGAGTCTGTACCATTTGAGTGTGGGAGAGTGCTGTTAACACTTCATTTTCGTCAAAGTGCACCTCAGTACTTTTAAGATGAAAAAACTTTACACTCCAAATCACAAGTTGTACGAACAGTACTATGTTAATCAAGCCAAACAAAAAGGTGGGAGTTTACCAGCTTTTCACGGTGCTCGATTTCAGCGGGGTTATGGGCTAGGGTCCATATTTAGAGGCCTGTTTCGCTGGGCGATGCCTCACCTTCAACAGGGTGCTAAGGTGATTGGAAAAAAGGCTTTACAAACAGGAGTCAATGTTGTCCAAGATGTTCTTGATGGAGATAACATTAAAACAGCAGTCCACAAGCGCACGAAACAAGCCCTCGGTCTACCTTCCCAGAATTCATTGCAGGAACAATCAGGAGCTGGCAAAAAATCTATAAAAAGAAAAGCGAAAGGAACCAAAATCAGTTGGCCTCCAGCCAAGAAGGCAAAAACATCTCCGCAGCAAAAGAAGCCCAAAGAGGAATTTTCTTTCTGGAAGTAACTATGGCCTTTGTGCATCACGAGTCTCAGGAATGTACGAAATCAGAGTTGGATCTCTTTACGATTCCTGCAACACAAACCTCTATCACCAAAGGGCAATGGATCGAGTACCACCCCATCAGTAACATCACGGACAGTGGTCCGATCGAATTTTATGTTTCAGGAACCGGAGATGAGTATTTGGACTTGGCACGTACTCAGTTATTTGTGAACGCCAAGATCACAAAAGCAAATGGAACCGCCATAGATGCCGATACACAAGTAGGTCCCGTGAACCTGTTTTTACATTCCCTTTTTTCGCAAGTGGACGTTTCCTTGAACGAGCGATTGATCTCTCCATCCACCAATACCTACCCTTATCGCGCCATGATCGAAACCTTGCTAAACTACGGAGAAGAAGCAAAAACAAGTCAACTTTCTATGGCCATGTTTTACAAAGATACCCCTGGAAAAATGGATGTTGCCAACCCTGTGGCTGCAGACGATGCCGCAAACAAGGGGTTAAAGGTTCGCTATGATTTCACTAAAGAAAGTCATATTGTGGATATGATGGGGCCCATTCATAGCGACATTTTCTTTCAAGACCGGTTGATGCTAAATGGAGTGAATTTAAGAATCAAACTGAACCGAGCCAAGAACTCGTTTTGTCTGATGTCATCAGCAGCCGCTCCAACTTTCAAGGTGGTAATCACAGAAGCCATCTTGTTCGTTCGCAAGGTGAAATTGGCCTCTTCTGTTATACTTGGCCATGCTGCTGCACTAAAACACTCCAGCGCCAAGTACCCAGTTCGCCGAATAGATTGTAAAGTGCTGTCTATTCCAAGAGGATTTAGCAGTTTTAACCCCGACAACATCTTTTTGGGTCATATCCCCAAACGAATCGTGCTGGTCTTAGTGGATACTCAGGCATATAATGGAACTTACAGTACCAACCCGTTCAACTTCAAACACCACAATCTAACTCACGTAGGTGTCTATGTGGACGGAGAGCAAATTCCTCGGAAACCCCTGTTCTTGAATTTTGACGAAGCTGGAGGTCACAATGTAATAGCGGGCTATCAAAGTCTGTTCTCAGGTACTGGAAAGCTATCCCAAGATGCGGGTAATCAGATCAGTAGAAGCGATTATGGCTCTGGTTACACAGCATTCTGCTTTGACTTGTCCCCAGACCACTGCTCAGGTGACCATTTTGAGCTAATAAAGCAAGGTAACCTACGCGCTGAGCTTCATTTCAAGGAACCACTGGCCAATACGGTTAACCTTATCGTGTACGCTGAATTCCAAAACGTGATTGAAATTGACGGGAACCGCAACGTGTTGTTCGACTACACAAACTAAAAATGGACACTACTCAACTGACCCATATTTTGAGAAAGGATAAATTTACACGAGGTGTGTTTCAAGGCGTGTATCCCTCAGACCTGCTGCCTGCGAGTGTTTCACATTACCCAGCCCTGTTTATCGCCAATGTGGATACGAGTGACAAGCCAGGTTCGCATTGGGTGGCGTTTTATTTCACCAAGGAGCAAGAGGGAGAATTTTTCGATTCTTACGGATCACCACCCAGCAAATACTCAGGAACATTTACTACCTTTTTAAACAACAATTCTAACCAGTGGACTTTTAATACTGTGACATTACAAAGCATCTATTCAAAAGTCTGCGGACATTATCGTAGTCGGCAAATAAGTATGAGTACAATTGTGCATCGTTTTTCTAATAACACACGTAAAAATGATAGTCTTGTCAAGCGATTTATTGAAAAACATTTCCCTATAAGTCTTCCGAAATATCGCACTGATGTAAGCAAGCAAAGAGCACAAGCCCAGCACAAAGTTCAATAAATAAACACCTTGTAATTTTTTTCAACATCTTTTATTGAGTGAACAAAATAAAGAGATGATTTACAATAAAAATAATAATAATAACAATGTCTCTTGTGGTGATTTTATAACCGTAACCAGCGCACAGCCTGAGGGCGAGGACTCTCGACTCTGCGCCTCTGCTTTTTGACAGAAGATAACGTCACAGGTGGGGTGGGTAGCCAACGCGAAGGACTTTCTGGGGTCTCCTCTCTCACTCTTGCTTTAAACTCTCTTATAGCACTCTGACGTTGGGAATTACGAACCAAGTTTTCGGGGACATTCATTCGCGCCAGGCCCCTCGCAAACACGGACCATCCCACTGGTTCAAATCCTTTTCGGTGACGCAATGTGTCGTTGACTAGGTCGACCACATGAGAACCTGGGATTGGTTTGTTTTCATACAACAGCTCTCCTTTATCATTCCAGTGCAACACATCCTGGTGTTTTATAATTTTATCCAACAACTGTCTAGCCCCAGCTTTGTAAATTTTGGGTACACTTTTCATGACCTCTTCCTCTACTGCTGTTGGAAGAGAATTATCTGGGGAAGCTTCCTCTGTAGATTCTGCGTTCTCAACTGGTTTGGGGGTTTCTGTTGTTTTAGGGGTCGTTAACTTCACATGGAGAGGCTGGCCTTTCCGCTGATCGTAATAAGTCAAGTACCGTTGCAACACCTGATTGTAAAGCTTCGCCTTTTCCTCATCACCAAGTTGTTTACTTTCCAAAATATCCTCCATTTGGCTATCCAGATTTTTCAGAGTTTGTGTTACAGGTGGTGTTAATATCTGCTGGCGTTGCTGCAATCGTTCCAGAGTGTTTTCAGGAACGAGAACCATGCGTCTTGTATGATTCATCTTAACTAAGAAGCGAGCTCAACACTCGAAGAACGGGAGGTAGCAAAACACTTAAAAAGTTTCCTCCGTGTTGTATCAAGATTTGCTTTTTCTTGTTTAGTGGGGTACTCTTTTCAGCTAGAGCAGTCAAGGCTTTCTTGTGCTTAAGAAGTTTTCTCTTTGCCGGTTTACTGACGGGGACTGTTTCTTTAAGTACGTTGAATACACACTCACAAATGGTTCTTACTAAAGCGTCGTCGGCTGCTTTCAAAATTGCTTTACGTTGAGTTGGGGTACACTTGACGAGGAGCTTAAGAAAATCGTGGTTCTTTCTTAGTCGCTGGGCCATACTCAACTGATATCAATCACTACGATGGAGCTTTTTTATACCTTTCTGACATAGGCGAGCTGAGTCTCCCCAGGGAAAATGCTTGTACGGAACCGGAAGTCAGTAGGCGTTTCCGGTTTGAGGTCGCATAACAGGTAGCCATAAGGGCGTTTTGTCGCATCCTGAAACGCTTCTTGCATGTATTTGACATGACCGGGAAACATCTGTTTCGCCAAGTGACTGACTTGACTGCTATCCCGCGGAGACTTGAACATTACCAAATAATGGCAATTCAAACTCATGTCTCTCAGTTCTTTTCCCCGGTGAAAAATATTTTGAAGAATGAAAATAACGCTTAAATTTCGGTGATGATAGCCCTTAGTAAACAAATTGGTAATTCTTTGATCATTGCTAAGCTCCTGCATTAAATCGTCAATGACCACTAAATTCCGAATGGTTGGGTTTATCATGGATTCTAAATCACCAGGAACTCCTTCGACGAACGTGATGTTGGGAATAGTCCTTAGCATCTCATCGTAAGCCGGTTGGTATATCCCATAACACCAAATGATATTTTCAGGAGCTCCGTCTATTAATTCTTCTCCAGATTCCAACAGGTGTTTGACAAACTGACTTTTTCCACAACAAGTGGGGCCAGCTACAATAGCAGGAAAGGGGTGTTTCCACCTTGGGTCCATGTTGACAACTGACCGGTTCAACTGCGTTTGCTCTTATTTATAGAGAAATGGTCTTTGGTGGAGTATCTTTATCATATACACGAACCATGGTGGTATTTTGTAATTTAGCAAACTGGAGCCAATATTTTCTCTCTAAGTCAGACAGCTCGTGTACCTGAGCCAAATGGTTTGCTAATCGAACTAAAAATTTTGACCCACAGCCGGGAAGAGGACAATGCTTGCATTTTAGTTTTTTCATGTTAACGGTACGAAAGCAGACTTTAAACTGAACAAATCCATTTGCGACACGAATTTATCGTTTATTTTCGAGGGCACAACGGGCACCAAGGGCATAAAGGGCACCTTTTTAGCCCTGTACTTTTCCCCTGGGCGCGCGTGGAGATCTCGCGTGGGGAAGTTGTGCGTGGGAAACGCACTGGCGCCTTCAGTCAGAGAATTACAAGAAACGCGTTTTTTATAAAGTGTTTTATTTATGAATCACACACGTTACAATTTTTGAAACACAATTTTATATATCTAGAGGCACAGTGGTAACTCCATCCTCCAACACTTTTCTTTTGGGGTAAAAGTAGGAAAACCCATCTCGAACTTGTTCATAAGTGTACATGCTATTGTTGACTACACGGAAACCTTTATTTAATCCTGAACTGCTTTGTTTGGTCAGTAGAACATTAAGATATTTTTCTTTGTTAATGTCGTTTGTTTTCTTGTTAACCCCTTTACAACTGAACTTATCATAGTCCCCAAAGCAATAGTAGGTCTTGCTACTGAGACCAATTATTCCTGCCCCTGACCACTCTTCTTTAAATAAACCTGGTGTTCTTTTGTCATAAGCTTTGTGTTCTGGAGTGTCGGTTCGTGGAAACCAATTGGCCTTGTCTGCTTCAAATTCCTCTCTTAAACCTGGTTTTACTAAACTTTCTACCGACTGCCCCGCGATCGCGATATAGGCAGAGTCTGTATCCATTTCACAATACTGAAAATCACTACGATCAAGATATTTATCCATGAAATCAAAATAGAACTGGAGCATTCTGAGTTTAGCGTATTGGTAAACAAAAAAACCGATTTGCATAGGTAGATTCAACTTGACAGTTTTCTTGCAAGACTGGACTTCATAAGTGTTCTCTTCGATCTGGTCAATCTGTCTGAAGAAGGGTGTGTTGATAAGCCGTGAGGCCTTTGTTTCTTCGCAGAACTTAACCTCTCTGTGGCGTTCTTGGTCCGTGATCGTCTTCCCGTAACTGGAATTCCCGACCTAATAAATAATGTATCAGAACATTAATAAGGTTTGCATAAGGAAAAAGGTGGCAAAATGCTTGTACAAATGAAATCATACTTACTAATTTCATTGTATCTGCGATAATAGCCTTGTTCGGGTCCACATCCCCAGCACGCCTGGCGTCGGAGACAGCTTCTCCAAAGGGCTGGAAACAAGGAACGGGTGTGTACTCGACCACTTGATAAATCCTGGTGACTTCTAACCCGTGCTCCAAGTACCATTTAATGAGCGGTGTGGCCAACAAGATCTTTTCTCCAAAATAGCTACCTATGAGACTTCTACGAGGTTGAGGCATGATACGTTGCTCCTCGGCAAAGGTTTGCATGTATTCACCAATATCTTCTCTAGAAATCTGCGTATTTTTGAAGATTGGACACATTTCGGAGAACTTGGGTTTCAGATGGTCAGGTACTGTGATGTCACACTCGACAACACCAAAGAGAGACTCGTCTCTGATAGCTTTTATGATCTGATTTTGATCCAGGGTCTGGTGGTGGTCAAGGGGTCGGTGAAACTTTCTGTTCATGAAATATTGTACTGCAGAGTTAGTTTTTTTCATTCGGCGCCACTGGCACTCCTACATCTCCACGAGATTGTAGCCTTGATCTCTGATATACTTTGAATTAGCTGTAGTTTCTTCCCTGAGCTCAGCCATTGGTTTCTTTCTTTTTTCGTTCATTTCTTTTCCTTTAGTTAGGTAGCAGTTATGCCCATGCCACCAACAGCCATGGAACTGGAAAACTGTGTGTGAAGGACCATGAAAACCATCCACTGGGAGCCTTCTTTCACCTATGCGTTTTTCTGTATTGTTCATTTGGTGGCGTATAAAAATTCCTCCTTCATGTGCCTTCCACTCTAACCACTCGGTGGCCATCTTGGTGGAGCTTTCTTTTTTGAAGTTGGTTTCTTCGCGTCGTCTCGTAAAAGATCCGGTGGGCATGTTTTGCATGATGGCCCAGAGATAGAGCGCGTTGGCGTCATATCCTACTATTTTCTGGCACATTTTTGGTTCTTTGCCTTGATCTGTTATCTCTCTCTCTCTGATTTTGGTTTTTCCCGCCTCGTGATATCGATGAAATATTATACTAGGGCCACCCACCATATTTTTCTTAAAGAGATAGTACAGATCTTTGTTTTTTTCGTCAAACAGAGAGAAGAAGATGCCAGATTCCAGGGTGGTAAAGAGGTACGTCAAGGTAACACCGGGAATAGAAATACCTTGTCTTAACATGTCGATCTTTTTATCTTTCCAGAACGCGCACATTTTTTCCAGGGCCTCACAAAAGGGTTGGACATCTAGGTTGTTGTACCAGATGAGAAAATCTTTAAATGTCTGCATGTTATGGTCAGACCACACTTGTTGGCAGTACTGGTAGTCTTCTTTAGAAATGTTTTCGTTTTTCAGTGTAGAGAAGAAGGCGTCGTGAGGAGGAAGAGAAGGGTGGTCTAACTTGTCAAGAGAATCCAGCCATTCGTATGGGAAGAACCCCTTGGTTTGAGGACACTCGTACGCTTTCAGAAATTTGTCGTAGCTGAAACCGGGAGCAAGAAAGTTGGTGACGTCGAGGAAGCGAAGATGTGGGGTCTTTAGGCACATGAAATTGTGGTTACGCTTGATAGTAAACTGAACGCCTTCATTCTGGACCAGGACAGGAAACAGAAATTCTTTGACGGCATTCAAGTCATATTTTCCAGAATTGAAGCCCAGCACAGGAAGTTCTTGCAGATATTCTTGGAAACGATCTCTCAGTTTCTTTAAAGGGTGCACTTTTTTCTTCTTAGGTTCTGGGCTGTTGTCCTCTGGTCTGTCATATTCACACTCGTGATCATTTTCACTCTGATCATCTTGTTCGCGATCTAAGGCCCTGTAAAACGAGGCACCTTGTTCTTCTACGTCATCGTCAATAAAGGCACGATCTTCTTCGGTTTCAGACTCGATTTCTTCTTCTTCGTCATCTGTGTCAATGAGATCTTCTCCTTCATCATCGCTATCTTCCTGGGTGAGGGTTTCTACTGTGTTAGTTTTTGAAGGGTCACCAGCTTCTGATTTTTGCTGTAGGTCTTGCAGCTTTTAGTCAATGGATTCAAAAAGGAAATTAAACTCTTTTCTTAACAGGTCATAACTTCGTTCACTGATTTTTACGAGGTGTTCTAACATCTCTTTGACGAGCTGTTTAGAATCCCCATCTGACACAAAGCACTTTGGTTGGTCGTAGTCTGGAACGTTGGAACAGACACTGACACTTAGAGGGATATGCTTGGCGTTCCAGGTGAGTTTTTCGGTATTATTTAGGCCAGTCTGACGATTAAACATGCATTCGAAGTCAAAGGTGGCTCTGTATGGAAAGTACTTTAAATGTGGTGCAATGGTGAAGCCTTCATCTTCGAGCAGCTGAAAGATGGTGGGTGGCGTCTTGTATGCACCACCAGGAAACATGTAATGGACTTTGGCCTCGCAGGTTCGCTCATGACGATGTAGTTTTCCTACATGTTTCCAGAATTTTCCACATCGCGAGCAGCAGTAAGATTTGGCATACTTCTTTAAATCTTTAATATAGGAAAAGTGATTCTGGTACAGGTTGAGGTACAGCGTACTTGGGTAGTGGCAAAGGGAGCGGTGAGTCAACTGCGCAGCGATCTCAGGAGCGAAATCCTCTTCCTCTTTTTCTATGTCTTCTTCTCCCTCCTCTCCATCGGGTTTAGTGGGTTCGAGGGAATAGACGAAAATGTTGACTTCATATAGGTGTTCCAGGTCGATCAGTTCTTTCAGCTTTACACCACAAAATTTCTTTTTCTCAGGAAAAAATTCTCGATATTTCTCATAGTAATGCTTGGCATCCCGCTCCAGATTTTTAGTGTGGGAGCCGTTATGGAGAGCCAAGGCACGGAAGAAGCACAAATTGTCGCCGTAGATTTTACCGGTCCGACGGTTGCTATCCAAGGCATCAATACCACGATTTTCCACGATGTAGTGAGGCAGACTTTGACCTCTCCCTATCGGATGGCCTCGTAGCTTGGTGACGAAGAAAGTGATATTGGTCACCTGTTCTACGACCCATTTGGAGTTAGGGCGTCGCTGGCGTACCCATTCCAAGACGTCAAGGTTTAACAATGCATCTCGGACATGTGGAAGATCTGCTGCCGTGGTAATTTGAAAGGGCGCTTCAAAGACTTGCTCATTGTTTCTGGAGGCATAATAATATTGCAGTGCTCCAGTCTCATTGTTGCGTAGAATGAAACCAAAAGACACATTCAGCTTAAACACGGTGGACTGGTCGGTAAAGATCTCGTCAAGGTGCTGTATAACCTCTTGAGGTTGCGGGGAAGACAGACGATAGTTATACCAGTCCAGTAGCCGGTTTTGGCGGCTAAAACGAGTGCGGATTTGATGCCAGTGGCGACGGTACTCGAGAACAGAACTTTGTTGGACTTCAGGGAGATCGGCGATAGATCTTGGCTCTTCCTGCCAGATGGAACTTGAAGTTGCTTTTTTCTCGATAGGATTGGGCTTCATTTTCTTGGGTTTTGGCTCTAAATGAGAAATAAAAATTCCAATGTCTATTCCCAAATCCAAACGAGGTATCCAGAAACACAAAAGAGTTGTTTTTACAATGTATTGTTTAACATACTCAAATTAGCATACGACTAATCCAATTTTTTCCACTTCATTGCTTTTACCTAACATTTGTGTAGGATTAACTCTCTGGACAAACGTTTTGTTCCATCATGTCTAAAATATGTTGTGCTAAGCCTCTGTACAAAGGCAAACCAAAGACTTATTCGAACATACTCTAGCCTCTATTGTTTTAACATCCCACGGCTAAAATTTGCATACGACTAATCCAATTGTTCCACTCCACTGCCTTCACCTCAAATTTGCATACGGTGCAGCTTTCAAACAAAAGACATGTTCAAACATGCCATAGCCTCTATTGTGTTGCAAGAAGCAAGTAAAAAGTTACCTACGACTAATCCTTCACACAAAATATAATTTTATCTTACTGAAATACAACAGAAAAGTTCACTGCTTCCTACCTGTTTCCTCGTCCCTTGGACGCTTCTTACTTAAAGAGGGTTTGGTATGAGCTGTTTGCTGGTGCGCTCGGAATGGAGCCAGATTGTAAAATGTCTCTCCACAGGTACTACACTCATACTCCCGCTGAGCCGCTCGGCGTTCGTGAACTTGTTTTTCGTGGCGTTTGAGATCTGCATTGCGAATAAATGACTTGTCGCACTTTTCACACTGGTGTTGTTTTTCGTTGGTATGTGTCTGTTCATGGCGTCTCAGGTTGTCCACACGAGTGAAAACTTTTTTACACGTCTCACATACATGCCGAGCACTTTTGGCAGGAGGTATGTCTTCATCATCCTAAAACATCAAATGAATCGTATATTAACTACCTTGACAAGCGAGAGAAATAAAGTACTTACTAAAACACTTACCTGTGCTGCTCGTTTCCTACCCATGCCGCTCTGAACTTGATTGGAAGAAGGTTCCTGAAAAAGTGTGATGGAATAATAATTTCAACAACAGAAACTGAATTTAGTGCGACGAACAATAATTACTTCAGTTTAGTACGACGGACAATAATTATGCTATAACATTTCAATAAGGACTCATACCGTTTCAAATTCATTCTCCCAATCGCTCCATGGGTCCATCACTTCGGGTGGAATAATGGAATCCACCAAGGGAATGCTGGAAGACTGATCCTGGAATGGAACTACATCTTACTAAAAGAAATTATCACTCAATCACATTCAAACGTTAATAACGTACCTCTTCTGGAAATGTTAAGGTCATCATTCGATCCACCGCTTCAGAAATCTGATCGCTTGGTATCTCGTTGTGCCAGATGAAATTTTCAAACTCTTCCAAAGTGGTGAACTGGTTGAAAGCCATGACTACTCGCACTCAACTTACTCACAATGTGTGAATGATGCGCTTGGCAGTGAGCGGGCTTTTATGCCGTTCAAACAATTAAAAATACGGCAACCAACCAGAATGCTTCGTCAAACGAGACAGCCAATGAGCGTCTTTCAAATTCCGGTCAACCAATCAAAACAACTATGACATCATAGTACCCCGGAATACATATGACATCATCTTCCGAAAATAACTAAAACCTGTCAAACCGGTTATACCAACCATGACCGCCACAAGATAAAAATAGAACATGACGTCATTGATAAACCCGTCAAACTGGATATACTTAATGAGATTCCACCGCAAGTTAATGAGATTCCTGCGCATTTTATTCATGAGATCAAGACAAAAGGTTATGACGTCATTGGCGTTAATGTATTCCTCCGCACTCTAATGAGAATCCTCCGCAAAAAAGGGGTTAATTCGGTCTCTCCTATACTACTCCGGTCCCTTATGACCAGGCCCCGTTTCTCGAAAGCCCCGATTATTAACAGGACCGGTAAGATGTCTAGGTTCAATAGATCTAGGTTTCAATGGTTTCAATAGAGTGTTTTCACATGACGTCACGGCGGCCATATTGGTGCCCCAAAACAATGAAACGGCGGCCATGTTGGTGTCCCAAACCAGTCATGTGGGAGTTGATCTCCTTTCTTATGCAAACGCTTTCTTTTGTTCCAATAAATTTGCATAAATGCTGGCCACGTGAGTGAAAACACTATAGTTTTGCATCTAACATGATAAAACTATCAGTCAGTGAAACAAAATGGAGTAGTTTGCTAGCCAGGACCCGCGCTCTTATTCTTTATATTTCGATATGGATATTTGATTTCGCGCCCGAAAAGTTACCGGGACTTTCGAGAAACGGGTCCCAGCCCCCAATTGGCTTGCTAGCTTAATAGCACCGCACGTATCGCAGGGGTTCGAATACCGTACGCCACCCTGAATTCTTTCAGGCTTTCTTTTTGCAACTGCAAAAGTTCTGTTAGAGGTCTATAACTGCGATGATCTTCTTTAAATTTAATTCTTCGTCCCGCAGTGCTACGATTGGCGAAATTCTCATCGAGAAACTGACACTTAAACTTGTACCCAGTCGAAATTTATGTGTTTTTGGGGTGAGACAAGATTGGGGCTAAGTTGAAACGCGTGGGGTCTTCCAATCTCTCCCTTCTCACCTCAATTATAAATGGTAATTGCGAAGAACAACTCCACTAAACCGACTTAATTGGCCAACTGTCGGTTAACTGTCTGCACTATCGACACATTACCGACATAGAAAACAATGCTATGCTTACAGATTCCACTTCCTTGTCTCTCCAGCTGCCACACGATCCGCTTTCCCTGCTATCTTTGAGCCTGGAACGGGTTAGACAAAGTGACAATTGACGATACGTCCGCCATGTTGGTTTTCCAAAACAATAGAATGGCGGCCATGTTAGCGTCCCAAACAAATCCTGTGGGAGTCGAATTCTTTCGTTTTGTAAACGCTTTACCTTGTAATCAATATGTGCAGATGCTTTTTGATAGTTTGTTAGTTTTTAAATTAAGCTTCTTTGAGGTTTTCCTTGTAGAACAGTGAACACATTGTAAAAACAATAGCTGGGATTCGATGTTGACTGTTTGACACTAGGGCCCTCACAACACCGGTGACAATATACAATTACGTCCCGGCATGCAACATTACAACAAAAACAACAACAACAACAACAACAAGAATAACTAACTTTAACTTTACTAGAAATTTTATTTGCACTAATTTATTCTTCAATTCCATGTATTCAACATTTACAACTTTTCAGATATTAACACTTATCATAACAATATTCATAAATTCAGTCTAAGCTGTTACACAAACGATTTGATTGTTAGAAAAATAATTGCATTGTTCCTTAGAAAGTAGAATAGCGCGCGTTGAAATGACGTGTTTGTGGAGATAAATTTCTTTAAAGAAAGGTCACTGGTAAGGTAGCACATTTTTAAAAATAATTTTCGGACCAGTATAAGTTTCTGGGGAAACATCCCGCCTACCCCTCCCCTAAATCAAAGTTAACAATTAGTGGAGGGCAGGTGGGGAGTTTTTTTTTCTCACTTGGTAGTACGCCTATGAAAAGAGTTTGGACGCACAATTCAAGACTCGAGGTTATGAAATAAATTATCGATAGAAACCTTGACAAACGCGGGAACCAACCTTTTCCAGTGCAACAGCGACATGGATTGTTCATGCTGAAATTTCTCGTTCAGGGATTGATGTTTTGGCGACAGATGAACGATTTGCCTACCGGGGAAAAACTCACTCAGCAATAATGAACTTGTTACAGTATTAAAAGATGACGATAAACTCCGGTTTCTCCTGTTTCACCAGTTTATCTTTTTTTTCCGGGTTTGGAAAAATCGCTTGCCTAAATTTCATAGCTTTTTCGCGAATCAAGAGTCCTTACGAATCTTACCAGTACTATTTACAAGCAGCTCCATGTGCTTCATTTTAAAAATGCTACTAAACTACTGCTTTCCACTTCAGCACCTTCCATAACGAGATCGCAGACAGACCAAACTAAAACTCGCCGGCCGTAAAACTCATCACTCGACTCCGATAAATCACGCCAGTTTAAATGGTGCTTAAGACAATCTGATGTAACACTACTTCAACAACCCAAATTTTCCAAAAACAAGGTTATTTTGCCCTGTCAGATGCTTTTAAGGACAGTTTGATACAACAATCAACGGTTTTCAGGCAGTACAAGCTACTGCGGATTTGATATTTGTTCTTAGCAAAGAATATTTTGAGCGTAGTAACGGTCGAATTTTCAATTTTTTTTCAGTTTGTAAGATTTACAATATTTCAAATTAATTTTAATATGGTTACGTAATACATTACGGCAAAGTTATTCATTTTCCCCTTTCCAAGTCTAGCTTCTCGCAGATACCAATACATTCACCTTATGTCTTTCTGGATTGCTACACAATCTGTGATCGTTTACTTTGAAGACGTTTTCAGCAGATATCATAAATAGAGGATATTACATGGCCACGCGGCGATACGAAATTTCTCTTCTCGTGTTGAAAAGAAGGGAAATTTCGTATCTAAAAGCAGCCATGTAATGTTCTATTTATTATATAAACACCAATGAAATACCAAACCATTTCAATTTAATAGTTTTTTGGTGTGAAAGACGCGATTTATTATGTATCCATAGCAATGGTGATATTTTCACATGTGAAGAGAACATGTTATTTTTACATGTGAAGATATCAAGTTTTCGCGCGAAAGCTCACCTGGTATTTCATTGGTGTTTATATAATAATCCGTTTTATACCCTCCGTTGATCATGAACGTTGATGGGATTGTCAGCGAAGACATCATTCGGTCCACTCCTCCCTTGAGTGCCATACAAACATGTGGTCATGTAAGCAGTAATTATTTGTCAGCAGATGCCATTGTTCGTTCCATACCCTTCAAGCTTGCCACTGTTGATTAAAATAGGCGTCGTCTCAGTTGAATTGGATTTGGTTTGTTTTTTTAGTTGTCGTCGAACTTTTGACTGCTGGATGAAGCCGCTCTTTGGGAGTTGCATCTTGTAGATTTTGGCGAGGATAACCTGAACGAAAACTCCAAGCACCGCTAGAAGCAGCCATGTAGCTGACAAGATGTAGTCTAGGGGATTAAAATGAAAACCAAGGGTAAGTTACCAATTAGCACAAATTGAGAGTAAAGGAAAGCAGTTACCACAGGGTTTAGCTTATTCAAGCCATGCTCTGTTATGAATATCCCTTGACGATTCTACGAGTAGGCCAGTCTTATTTCCTTTACCTAAAATATTTTATGAATTCTCCACCGCAGCTTAACAAAGTTCTCTGTTGGCATGTCTTCTTCCGTGAAAGGAGCTTGCACGGATAATAACATTGAGAACTTCCTACTGATTACTCTGTATTATAAACTACAGGTTACAAATTGTAAGGATAACAAATTGCTGCGAGCAGATGCTGAGCAGATAAAATAACATCTAAGAAACGATGAACTGGCATACATATTTTGCTAATTACAGACCTTTTTATTGGGTCAATTACTAATAGTGGGATAAAAGACACGGAGGGAGGTCCAAAATCAAGAGTTCTTTGTGATTTGTAATGGTAACAGGACTGAGCAGTGTCCAATTCGGTCTGTAATCATACGAGTGATTAAAAAAATCGGACGACCGCATAGCGAGAGACCGATTTGTTTAATCACGAGTATGATTACAGACCGAATTGGACCGGGTTTTGCGTACTGTCCAATAACTTAGCGTACTGTCCTGTTAGTGCTGAAATCAGGGCAGTTGATAGCCAACCAGATTTGAGAATTTTGTTATAGTTATGATTAGGGTCTTTATTGGCCAGTTTACAGTCCGAAACTGTTTGCGCGCGCCACAATGCGAAACTTAGCGTTCAGTATTACAATAGACCTCTTTAGCTTGTATGTTTTGTTTTCCCATTTCAGACCACGTGATGGTCTGAGAACTGTTTCTTTCAAATATCGTCTTCTGCACGTGCATCCATGTTCATATGTATGCATAATTAATGAACAGACAAAAAGCAATTTCCCTGGAGAACGATACCGCTGGCCTTTTCTGCTAAAAGTCATCCTGACACGAAAATAGAGACTGTTTCCCCCATTTAGCGACAGGACACCCAAGGAACCACAGGACACCCAAAGATTAGTGTGCTACTCGCCTGGGGGATCGCAGCAATTAAACACTAACCGGGCATTCACCCGTCAGTGCCCTTTAAGAGCCTCTGAACCTGGAGAGATTCCATTTAGTGTTTGCTTATGGTACTACCGAAATTGAGGTATCGACAATGAAAGCTCTAGACCACAGTTTTGACGCACAACGTAAATTCATTCAAGACACAGATTGTGGTAGTATGGTCTGAGAGTCAAGCTAGAGATTGTCTGTAACCAAAATTACTCTGGCTGAAATGCGGTGCAGGAATCTCTAAAATTAATTCGAGTTAAAGCAGGAGTTTCCGACGTGAATGGAATATTCCATTTCTTACCATTTTGTTGGAATGGTCTGGTGACAACGATGTGATCTTTGCGAAACTGCGGCTTCGTAGCGTGAAGAATAACATCCACAACTATGTAAGAAAGGCTGGTATGCAAGAAGAAGTCGATACCTAAAAAAACCAAACACTTCATGAGCGCTTGATTATGTTACAGAGAACAAAGATGTCGTTGCTTAACTTTGAGGGTTTTGCGTAAGATAAGACATGGGAGGTATTGCAGAGCGTAAAGGGGTAGAGGAGTGAACCACCAATTCACCAATCCATAAACTATTGTGTAGGGAGAATGGGTACAAGATCTCGACGCACTGATTTCTGGGATTGCTTGCGAGGACAAGTGTTACGATTGTTCAAAGGTATACTAAGGCACTCATTAACCAATCACTGCTTACATACAATTAGTTCTATCTTTTATCTATTTTTGCACCATACTGTTATCTCCTCTAAACAGAACAAAGTATCCCCCACCCCCCTATTCAATGTTGTTGCGGTCTGAAGACCAACGTGTATGATTCTGGATAAGAGGTTGTGGTAAAACTCTCATTCATTTGGCGACGGTTTGCGTTTTTGTCAGGATGACAGGAAAAATAGGTATTTTTGTAATGTGTGTCAAGTTATGACCGAAGGTTGTAGCTTTGTCTTTAAATTTCATACACACTCTTCTTGCTATTTTTCTTGACATATCTTACGTCTCTGACCATGTCTATGTCGCTGTTCTACAAACAAATGGATACATGGGTTAGGCATAAGAATTTCTGGGGTCATTCGAATTCATATGGGTGGACTACTCGAGAGTTTTTTGTCCCAGGTTAGAGCCTATGTTGAAGGCATGTTGTACTTACCCACAACAAAGGCATATGAAGATACGATGGTAGTGTATGCAATACAAAGCTGTGATAAAAGAAGAAAGTGATTAAATCAAGTAAAACCTGACTGATTACTGTTCATCATTTTTTAAAATGAATGTTACACACTGCACCCTCGCAATTACACGGGCTTAGAGATTTGGGACTTGATGTGTAACATACTGGAAAAACTTGACTGTTGTGGTTCATATTTGTCTGTAAGAACTACTGCTGTAAATGTGACATCACAAAACTAAACTGGCATGGACAACCTGAAGAGCGAGAATTCGACTCTAACAACAGGGTGTGGCCACTTTAACCCTGAGTCCTAATATCCTCATACAAATTCTCCCAACTGATCTCCATACATTTCTTCGAGGAATTAGTTGAAAAAGCAGTGATTTTGTTACAAATAGTTATGGTGAGTCCTAAGACTCATCTTGTGAGCAAATCATGAGCGCCAATCCAGAATTATTGAGTTCCAGTTCAAAAAACAGTAAGTCCTATTAATTGAAAATGCTTGGGCCTTTATGTGACCAGACAGATAAAAGATATTCTTGTCTAAAGCACAACGAACACTAAAATCTAAATATACGTTGTTAAACGACAGCAACAAAAACCGCCACAGAAATCACACAAACAGGATATTCTACAAAAACATCTTCAGATCGATGGATCAATCGATCTTAGCATCCTACAGGACGCATGCTATGAACTTTTGTGCATTTTGGGGATTTTTATGCGTCAGGGACGCAGGACGCAGAGGTAACGAAATCACTGAAAAAGATTAAAGCATTTTCCCTTAAGTGATCATTTTAATTGTTAATTCTAATAACTTTTTTCTCATGATGATCAATGTATTGACACTGCAAGGGGAAAATTGTTGTTGCTCACTTTTGGGACCAAATACCTTGTATGACAACTCACAACTCACAATCATGCTGAAAAAATGTCAAGCAACTATTGCCTGTTACCTGAACAGGCCCATGATGATCCTGAACAGCTATATTTCCCAGTTCTGGGTTAAAAGCTCGTTACCAGAATCATAGTTGCAGGTAAATTAAAGTGCCTTGACCTGAGCGTTTGTTTGCTTTCTCTCATCATACGTCAGCGGATAAAATAATGAGCCTGTCCAATCAGAGGTACCCTGCGACTTTGTAAAAGTTAAAAACCATGCTCGAAGGGCAATCAGAGGGTGTGCTTCACTAAAATTCGGTTTACTTATGAAGCAATATCTTACCACACGAGGCCAGAGTACTAGAACAACTGGAACAATAATGGTGAGAGCACATAGGACAGCACCATAGTCAAATTCACTTGTCTCAAAAATATCCAAGTCACCTGTAATAACACAGTAAATACATATTTCAAATGACGATATGATCGTTGCAGTGGTAATTGCAATTTAAGCAATTGCAAATTAACCCCCCAAAATTTTGAGACTTCGACAGGTTTCGAACCCATGGCCTCTGCGTTGGCCCTGTCGTGCTCTACCGACTGAGCTATGAAGACCCATACAATGGAAGCAGGCCAATTTGAAGAGTTCAACTTAACCCATGAACGGAATGAAACACAGAATGTTACAGTACTGTAAATAAATATTATGAAATAATAATTTAACTACACCTCACTGGCAATGGCATTTTATGTCCAATAACAATACATTCAATCCTCTATGTGCGACCAAGTGTAAGCAACCACAGATCCAAAAACAACAAAACTTTCTGTCAAAGTTCTATAATTAGAACCTCTCATTAAAGACCATTTCTTTATGTACCTGCAACCACTTTTGGGGGGTGACGACTTTCGTTTTCCATTTTTCTTTAACCCTTTGTAACTGACCCCATGGACTTACCAAATGGAGTAAACATTAGAGTTGCTCCAACCAGGAAACCAAGGAAAAGAGCATCAAAAACAAGACAAAGTCTGGTCCATCCAGTGAACCACCACAATGCAAATATCAGTAATCCAAACAACAGACCTAATCCAGCACTCATCAGCATGCAACCTGTCAGAGATTACAACACTCTAAGGTTAGTAGAGTGTTTGTTTGAATAAAAAGAGAGCTTAAGATTCTACAATGAGGAAGAACTAAGAGAACAGGACTAATTTGTCTGCACAGCAGCATCATTTTGGTGGGAAAATGTGACCGCAGTTAAGTGTAAGGTTATTAAATGTGAGAAGTTCTATCTTTTTTTTTTGTGATCAGGAGAGGGCTAGTGACCTCCTTCAATAAAAATAAGTGTGGTAACTTTTCTTTTTTGGGTTTATTTTTTCCAAGAACCAGCCCAGGGTGGCAGAGCAAAACTAAGAGATCATTACACTTCTAGCATTCCACTGAGAACTTAGCTAGAGAGGTCTGTGTGATCTAACCATGTGCTCATCCATAAACAGTCAGTCATGCAAATAATTATGATATCTGAATACAATATTATTATGTGCACCTACCTAAATGGCTAATAGTACTGGTAGCAGAAATGATGATGAAAAATAGAACAGCAAAATTCACCAGCCCTCCTACAAATAATGCTGAAAGAAACAAAAAGAATGGTTCCAAAACTTCAGCATGCCAGTTCTTTTCATCATACTAACCTACAAACATTTCCACTAATAATTTTCTGACAATACATGAGATACAAATTCAGGAGGCTATTAAAACATCAAGTTTAAAAATGTTGAACATCTGAATGCTGGCTATGTTTTTGCGTATGGTTTTTAAAGGAAAAAAGTGGAAAATGGCTAAAAAATACAGGGCAAAACTTACCACACACAAAAAAGCCTGTATGTGAAAAATCAGCAATTTTTGTGCAAAATACTACAGAACATAAACAAAGCCTACTGTCGTTGTTCTGAAAACTTACTGAATTTGAAGAGATATAACCCAAAGAAGCAAAAGATAAGGCCTAGAATACTTCCAATAACTGCAAACACAGCATCAACTGCAACAACTGCAGAAAATACAAATTAAAATACATTCAATTTAATTATATTATTGTAAACTGAACTATTGCGTCTATTTTTATTTTTAACTCCAACAAGTATGATAAAGGTGAAGATGTTGATAAAAGTGAGATTAATGGGGATGCACTATAAAGTTATCATTCTGAACTGAACAAGTATTTTGTGCCACAAATAAAAGTATGGTTTTTGAGTAATAAACAGGGTGTACAATTTCACTACAAAATATTTGTGGACTGAACAACTTGAGCAGGGAGTGAACCTGTGTGGTGTATGGTTTTAAATGTGAGGTGTGTCCTCAGTTTATAGCTGAAAAAAAGGTTAACTGCACCACTCTAATTTAAAGAAAGAAAACTGTTCCCAAAAAGAAGTGTCAAATTTCGGAAGGAAGGTGAAAATAATAAAATAATGGATTTTAAGGTATCATCCACCCTCAAGCACCCTCCTCGCGTTGATCGGCACTAGCGCTTTTGCTTTTAATAAATACCCCCATAAACCATACATTTTCTGAAAGCTTAATAGTTCCAGATTATTATTCCTTTTAAAAAATCAAAATATTAACGCGATTTAGAAATGAGAAGCTTTTTGTGAAAGTGGATGTCACAGTAAATTTAAGTCCAGGCCAGCCAAAAAAACGGAAGAAGCCAATTAAGATCGCATTCGCTTCTTAACACGATTTTGTCATCTTCTTTCGTCTTGGAGTCGTGTATGAAAACGGACAAGCTTTTTTTCTTCTTTGGAGGCATTCACTTCCAAAATCCAGGGAAAAAAAGTGAGTACTATACTTGTAGACCACGATCTCTGTCAAATTGCATGATTAGCTTGGTTCAACAGCGACATGCGTATCAAGTATGACAGGACTTGTCAATGATCAATTAAAATAATTGACATAGAAAAAACTTTTGCGCTCCATAAGTCTGCACAGAAAAAACATTTTTTCCTGCAATTTTTTTTTAAAAGAAAGCTCTTGAATAGCTCTATTTAATCATTATTAAAAAATTATAATTTTTTACCCTGGATGATACCTTAAACAGGGTCTGGGTTTATTAGCTTTGGCAGCGTACCCCTACCCATTGAAGCTTCAGTAGCCCCCTCCCAGCGATTCATGATGGTAATGATAACTAATATTAATAGCAATAAACACTTGGGTAAGCCCCTTTATTTAATTCTTCCAATAAACCCCACAGTTTGGGTTACACCAGTTAGTGATGCAAATTGACAAAAAAAGAGAAAAAAATGAACAGAGTTGCATCAGACATTTTCAAATGCTGAAAGTATAGCCTGAGAAAACAGCCAACATTTTGTGACGCCACAACTGGTTTCCCTGTGAAATTACGTCTGAGCAACCAGCACAAGAATTCCATACTGATGATGCGCCACTAACCAGATCTGGATAGTGCTTCTGATTGGCCGAAGCAAATTTTCCATGCAGCATGACCAATCAGAAGCACTCCCAAGATCTCTTAATGATGTGTCATCAGTAAGGAATTCCTGTGCTTGTTTCACACATGTCATTTTGGGCGGAAACCAATGGTGGTGTCGCGAAATGTTGGCAATTTTCTCAGGCTAATGAAAGTAATAATACTGTAATTTCATTCAATAATTTGTACTTTCTTCATTAACATCACTTAATATTTACTGTAGAGTAGCAGGGTTGTCTGTAAGATTAAGCAAGTTGCCGGGTATACATAATTAGTGGGCAGGTCTTCTAGGAAGTTGTCTGGGTCCTATTTTCTTTTGCTCCCAATGAATATAGCTGGTAATCATTTGCATGGTAGCTGGGGGAAATCCCCAACCCCCAATCCTTAGTGACAACTTTGAGAATGGTGTGTTTTAAGTTGCTACATGTATAATAATGAGTAATACTGACAAAACATTATTGGTATAATATTTCAAGAGAAGCATACGTCTGGGCACTCAAACAAAAACTTACTATGTTGATGACATCCTACGCATGCATAAGATGCCACTGGTGAATATGCAGCCTCCTTTTTCGTATCTGGGTCATAAACTATCACATTGAAGACCACACCCTGGCCAACTGGGTAAGTAAGAAACTTTAACACTGGGACTGTCGGTGCCTTCAGAGTGCTAACCTACAGGGGCATATTAAAAAGAAACAGAATGATAACTTATTTGTTACATTGTATGAGGTATTTGCGAGAAGCTCAATAATAAAGTGCAGGGGTGCTTAGAACAAAGCCCTGGGAGACTTCTGACCTAATACTTAATTCTCCCTTTGATTAACAACTATATGAAGGGCCTTTAAAGGAGAATCTAGCATTTTATCAGAATTCCCATTTGAATTTATCACAACCTACCTACAATTAGGGAACGCGTCCAAATATCGGCATCGGGTCACACCGATGCCGATCAATTGGGCACCGATTTTTTCCGATTCCATTGAAGGTCGGACCTGATATTATCGGTACCGAATGAAACGGAATCGGCAAAGGGTCGCAATTCTTAAAGACGGCGCAATGTACGATCTCAAAATGATAATTCTAAAATAGCTTGGGCCCGTACTAACTGGAACCCAAAACGTATGATTATAGGAATCTTTGGAGGAATAAACAGTTTAGGACTGTAAACGAAAAAAATAGAAAGAAGTCAGAACATCCATGACCAAAATGCAAATGTTGTTACCGTGTTGTGTACTTTAACTGCTAAACTGCCACAGGGGAGAAGAGGACATAGTCTGAGAATAAGGCTGCAAGTTGTTTATTGGTTGCATATGAACTCAGAAAAGTGACTGATGGAGGCGTTCAACTGGTTTTCTCTTTCTCGATTCTCTTTACGCTATTAAATTGAGTCGAACTTATACAGATGTATGCACAGTTTGCTTTAGTTGAACACTCCGGTAAAAAAGGTTGACAAAAATCAGCCAACTAGGGTCAAGCGCAAATTTTCCTGAGTGCTGAGAGTGGAAAGCAATTTCACGTGGCACCATGCTCAAGCTCACAGAACAGCAAAGTCGCTAAGCCATTCTCTCTTTGGTAGCTCCTGTATGAAACTTCGTTCCGTGTCTTCCGTGACTCGCGAGTGTGGGAATCTTTCAGTTCTTGTTGCTAATTCCATGGAGACAATCGGAGGCCGCAATCTAATTGGTCGGTATTTTTTGCCTCAGATTGCATTACACCTTGCGTTTAGGATCGTTGAATCTTCGTAAAAGTTTATCCCGTGGTTTTATATTTTCCATAGTTTTGTTCTCGCTCCGCTCGCTAGGAAACCCGTTGAGGTCTACTTGTAACAAGTCTATGCATCCAGTTGTGTTTTGAGAAAGTGAGTTCCGGTTGTGCTTTTGGATTGCATTGTTAGAAAGTATCGAGTAAAGAACACACTACCGGTGCTCAGTAAGGTGTTTTGTTTGCTATGTATCAACGAAGAACAGTGGTGTTTTGCGTCGTAATATTTAACTCCTAATTAATTTTCATATAATAAATGTTATGGAGCAGCGTGGTGTTTGCGATTGACTGAAGGAAATACCTCTGCAAAATGCCGAAAATCACGTGTATAGGGACGCATCAAATCAACAAACTCGAAACACAACATGCAGGAACATACAAAATTGCTATTTGTTATGGAGTAGGAAAAAGCTACAGTTGATTGAAATTAAGTGAAACGACTCTTTCATCATTTGGTTTCGTGACACGCTTCATTTTACATATCAGATAAAATAATATGACGATGACACATACGAACATCGGAATGTCAACCGGCTCCGATTGAATCGGCAAAGTTTTTATCGTAATTGGAAAAGGCAACTGGTGCCTATAGACCGGTACCGATCCCGATCAATCGGAAAATTAATCGGGTCCATTTCCCATGATCGGGTCCATTTCCCATGATCGGGTTCCCGACCAATATTTGGATGCGTTCCCTTAACGGAATATTAATTTGTGAACAATTTTTTGATACCTCATCATTATTGTAATAGAAAAAAAAATAATTTAAAACAAAGGAACTCTGACTGAAAAAGGGAGTTGACCTACACTGTAGATTGTTTTGACAAAATTAATAGTATATGACAATGTTCTTGTCCAGCAAGAAAGAGAGCTTGAGTTGGTAGGTATAACAATGTTTTTTATTAGTTTACCGCATGTAATTCCCCCACTTATACAGGCATCAGAGTGCTTAAAACTCCCTAAAACCTGTACACTGTGGTGACCAAATTCTGAAAGATAGCTGCAAATAACTAGAATTCAGCGTCACATTTCACTTGAAGACTTTTATGATTGAATTTTGAAAATGGCAAGATCTTTTACAGGTCACTTTTACTAGGAAAGGATAAGAACACTCATGAATCTACTAATACACAGAAATTTTCTAATATCATTATAATGATTGTATCTGCTGCATGACCTTTTGATCTTAGAAGGTAAAATTTTATGAAGAATTAAAATAATATTTTTCTGGAAAGGCTATAGATCAGGCAGTTCAGATCTTGTACAATATTATGAAAGTATTAGCATAGCCAGAGAACAATTTTTTTATTGGCTCATCCTGCTGACTACAAACAAAAGTTTTTAACATTAACTTACTTTCTGGCCATGATTTTTAATCCTGGCAGGATAAGCCATTTCTTCCACACCCTGAAAGAATGATTTTTCTGAAACATCCCCTTCGGGAAGAAACATCAGATAAACATAATACTCCAGCCGGAAATGCTCAGGTGGCTTTCCAGTCACCTTGTTGCCATCACATGGGGGAGCCAGACTACTACCTTTTTTACCAGATCTGTGAAAATGAAAATTCAAACTTTTTTTTTACAATAGTTCAAAATAGAAAGTATGTCTCAGGGCTGTGTTCTAGCAGTGCCCCATCTGCCCCAGGTGCCTAGTTACGTTTACTCTTGGGCAACTAGAAAATCTTAGTTTTTCACTTAAATCACATGATGGCCACCCTGGATTTCTCAGGTTCAGAGCACTGGACCCAATATTTTTTTCTTAGAGTAGAGCTTTGATGTCCTTCTAAGCTGCTGTGATCCAGTGACTATATGACTTTTACTCTTTTTGAAATGGAATGGGGAATTCACAGACCAAGATTGGGTGGGCGATGCCAGGGTGCTGTAGAGAGTTTGTCAACCTGTTTTACATTTTGTACCCAGTTTAGGAAAAAAGAAGAATGTAACATACTTATGATATATACATGTAAAATACCAATCTATGTTTTAGAAACCTGTTTAACCCATCCCCCCCCCAGCAATTTTTGCCGAAAAATGCTTTTTGAAGCTAGTCGAGCAGTCTTCCAGTCACTGTCTGGCAATAAAGAGCTTAATAAAACTTACTACAAAGCTGCTCCTGGCAGCCTTCTGATCCAGCTGCAAAATATTAGCTTGCGAAGTTGAGGCATGCATGGAAAGCAAAATTTCAAAACTTTCTCTCCTCCCCTCTTCTTTTGCTTATCTTGCTCCATGTTTTTTTTTTGCTGGGCATTTAGTAGGCTTCATTTTTTAGGGAGATAATGTGGACAATCAATGCAGGAGATTCAAATACCTAACACACATATACCTTTCTTGGCCTCGTAAGTGGGAAAAGTTTTGGGAAAGCTTTTAGGATTTTAGGATTAGATGAAAGGAAGGGTAGGTGGGTAGTGAAACAAGATTTTCAAGGGTATTTTCGAGTCAATGTTACAAGTTTTTTTTTGCATTTTTCTTCGGTCTCCTCTACTGAATCGTGCTCATTCTGGTATGGTTTGAAAGATCTCTTCACCCTGCACAAGTAAGTGGATAAAGTTGTTCTTGACTGTTAAAACTGATGCTGTCACAAGCAGTAGAAGGGACGTTGACCCACATGGGCAGCTATGGGCTGTTCAGGGGCGAATGGGTCAAAGACTTATTAAAGACAAAGTTGCCAAAAAACCATACATAGCCTGTCCACCTGCATTGGTTAAATAAGGAACCGACGCCCTCCCTCCAGAGTGGGGTGGGTGGGGTACTAGTACCATCTGCCTGGAATAATGCCAATGGCAGCACTCCATGTTGTGACTGTTTGTGTTGCCATGGTGAATAGAAAAAAAATTTGTTAACTAAAATTGCAGTGAAAGTTGCCAATATTTTGCCGGGTTATAAATGTGCCTTGGAGCTGTAGTGAAATTAATTCATTACAGTGGAACCTCGATTTAACAAACCTCTATCTAACGAGACGATTTTCTTTACTCCAGTTTACTAAAATATGTGGAAGACAACCTCAAGATAATGAAACCTTGTCGTAACGAACAGTTTTGCCAGTCCCTTGCTCCTTTGTTATATTTTGGTTTTTATGGTCTTTCTAGTTTGCATTCATGGTCTTTCACTGAGATTATGAAACATTTCCACTTTCTTCATAATCTTATTTTCCCCCTGGAGATGTTGTGTGTGTCTCCAAATTCGATTGTGATGGTTAAGCAGCCATTCAATATGTCCATGAAGCATTGCAAAAGGTGCCTTGTTTTCTGGACACCAATATTTTTTGTTAAAGGCAACCATTTAATATGTTTAGGTTGCCAAACATTGAGCTTGAAGCACTGATGGGTAGCTGGTGTGATTCACTCTATTCACTAAAAAAATGCAATCATCATTTTGATCCTGAAATAATCTTTGTCAGTGACTGAAATACGTGCAAAAATGCCCCAGAAACTGTACGACAAATAAAAAAATTCAAATTTTGAATAAAAAATGGGCTAAATGTCAAATAAAGCACAGAAAAGCGCAAAAGATGATTTTATCTGAGAGATTTGGTGACCCGTATGGGAAAGCAGGAGATCGGTATCATGTCCGGGAGAGTTGTCATACATGAGATAAGTCTGCAGAATTTGTATGTGGATACTGGGGCTTTAAGGGTTAAAGACCTGTACATCAATAATTATCACGCTATAGCTGCTAGAATGATGGTTCTACTTGTAGGTGTGGTATATATGCTGCTGTAGTCAAAAGGCTGGTTTAATTTGCTTGTCAGGCAACAAAATTATTCTCCTTTTCCCTCAACGTTACACTGTATGTTAATTTAAAGCCAAAAGAATGTCCGCTAAGAAGAGTACTCAGCCTGATAAAACAAGAATTATTATTATATTAAAAACAATTAGAACTCACCTTCCATAGTAAACATTGGCAAATGAGAAGGTTATATTGGTTTCAACTGAATCATGGGAGACAACAATATTTGGATCAAACTCCATAGCACAGGTAAGACAGCAACCACCTGGAAAAGGAACTGAAAGAGCAATTGACATATGTCATTTTCTGTTTTATATGTCATAAAATAACATGTAAAAGGTGTGTCAGAGGTTATTGCAAAATGTCAGGGCACAAAAAAAGTGCTGTCTGATAACCTGGGGCTATAGCTAATGGAGCAGCCCATTAGGTTAGCAATATTTAATAATTTCAAGTTTTTTGATGGGTACGCAACGTTAATTTTGCCAAGATAAAGTAAATCTGAGTGAAAAAGAGGTTGTGTAGGCCGGTCCAGCTACTTTAAGCTAGTAAACCTCAGCAACAGAAAAAAAATATAATTGCTTGTTTTTTTGTATGCTACAACTGTATTTCTGAAGTTTACTAGCCTGAAGCAGTCACGCAGGCCTACACACACCCGCTTTTTACTAACACAATTGGTTTACAATCAAGCCAAGAAGTGAACCTGTGAAACTTTCACCATTTAAACACCTCACATGATTTGAGCAGGAAAATGAGTCATTAATGTGCTGGCTTGCCAATCAGTTTCCAAAAGTAAAATTTGACACCCACAATTAAAAGGAAGCAACTAAAAATCACTGCTGCAGTGTATGATTCCTATTACACTGGTATTCACACACCTGTATTTTGCCTCTTTTGTTTACCCCCACAAACCTACACACAATTTGTATATATAGGGTGCCAAACAAATACCACAAAATAGTCGCATAGAAAATAATTATAATACAAAAACAACTCCAAAAAACATCTTGCTAACCTAAAATAAAAGTATAAGCAAGAAATGACAAAATAAATAAACATAATTTTTTGGTTCTTATTTCAAGACCATTATCAATAATTTATTATTGTGAAATACAAGATGGAAAAGCACTGAACTTATAAAGAGAGCCAACCAGACAGGTGTGACTGAATATTAACAAACTAATAATTGTGACAAGAATGTGGAAGAAAGCATAACAAAAAATGCTGAAATTCAAATTAAACCTAAAGCTAAAACAGTAAGCTCTTTGGCAGCTTTAATGCCATAGTTAAGTTGAGGTATGTACCTCTTAATTAATAAAGATTCCAGGAAACATAATTGGTTATAGTTATTGATGTATGCAATAATTGTTGTGTTGTTCAAAATTGTTTGGTGAATGTGGGAATTGAAACTAACTGCATTGGCTTTGTTCTTAAAACAACCAGGCAAATTATTCAGAGAAAACAAAAACTTAAATGCCTCGCAGCCGTGCAAGTGTTGGAACATTGCAGAATTATGGTCAGAGCTGCATTCATCTAATCTTACTCTGAGACGTGTGTCACGAGTCTTGCCTATGTATTCAGCATTACAAGGGGGACATGAAAGTTTGTAAATAACATGAGATTTAAGATACGTAGGGTTTGGATCTTTGTTCGCGCAAAATTATGAAAGTTTGTTAGTTTGATAGAAAACTTTAAAACAAACAGGTTCCTTAATAGTCACTTAGCATGGATTTATCTGCATATTGGAACATTGATCAAAATTAAAAGAGGAAAGTTAAACTTCAAAACTTACCCTTATCTTCATAAGGTACTGCCATTATATCAGTGTTATAGGTACTGTGATTGTTTTCAGATTTTAAATAGAGATGGCTTGTTCGGTTCCTTGGATTCCTTATTTTAAAAGGATGCAGAGCTGCAACATTTGAACCAGTTACAGTAAATCCATAAGGTGTTCCAGGTTTCAGAGATAATGTCACATTGTTCTGCTGAGCATGTACTTGGTAAATTACAAATCTCCATGCCGCCTCTGCTTTGCAGAACATCAAGTCCAGGTGCTCAAAGGGTTGGAGTTCTCTTTTTTCTCCTCTGTTTGGTTGAAGCTCAAAGTTTTCTGCAGAGATGACTAAAAGTAACAAAAGTATTTTACTAGTTTGGTGGGGTTAACACACGTGAACATTTCTTGTATAATTATTTGGCTTCCAAATCTACGCTTGGATTGACTTACATGTACTACTTGCAGCTCCCCCTATGGCTGGAGATCAAGGTTCAACTCTTGGGTATAAGATTGACAAGAATCATAAAGTCAAGTTATCTGTAGGTTCATCTTGAGGAAGATCTCATAATGATAGATCACCTTGTAACTAATAGCAGGCCATGGATCATGTGTCATATAGGGGGTTTCGACCAATGTAGCGAATGATATCTGGGTTGGCTATTGGTTGACATATCAGTTGTTATATTGGTTGAAATGTTGCAAGAGTGTCAGTCAACCAAGTGGCATTTTACTGTCAATTGAGTATAGGTTGGTCCCAATAACATCAGTAGTGTGTCAGGAATGTACATTGTATCAGTGAGCTATCAGTCGTTAAGGTGTTGGTGGTGTATCAGTCAACAATCAGCATCGCCTGTACAACTTTTTTTCCAACCTTCTGCCAAAGGCTTTACCCTTTGTTGTGAGGGACCTGTCAACTGACACACGGTGGACACTATTGCTTGTTACATATATTGGCTGCGGATGAAACCAGATAGATCAGTTACCAAAATCACCGGCTATTTTCATGTATCAGCCAACATCTTGGTCATTCTGTTGGTCAAGAGTTGGTTCCATATTATATTGCATGAAAGTTGACTACAATAATGGCTGATACATCAGTTGCTACCCCCAATAAGACACATAATCCCTGGCCACATACACCTGTGTTTACTGATACAGTAACAGTGTGTGTGGTGTTCTTTTTTCTTTGGGGATCTGCTTGATGTTGCAGAAAAAGGGATAATCTCCACTCCAGTGGACCCCCTTGGTCCATTTTTGTTTGTTGCAGGGTACAAAGAAAGTCATTTTTACAGCTTACCATTCCGGCAAGCTTTATCTAGCATTTACATGTACTAGCCCAAAAGTCATTTCAACTTGTCCAAAACGAATTTTTGATTCATGAGCATTGATTAAATTTCTTCTGTAAATATTTGTTTCCCCAAAAACTTCACTTGGCTGAAGCACAGAATACACTAGCCCAGTAGCAAAATCCACTAGCCCCAAGTTATCAGACACGACAATGGTGGCGTAGTGGTGAGAGCACTTGCCTCTCACCATTGTGGCCCAGGTTCAAATCCCGGCGTCAACGCCATATGTAGGTTGAGTTTGTTGTTGGTTCTCTCCCTTGCTCTGAGAGGTTTTTCTCTGGGTACTCTGGTTTTCCCCTCTCCTCAAAAACCAACACTTCCAAATTCCAAATTATTTGTTCTGGAACGCACGGACACATTTAACTGAGTTTATATGAACTCCTAAGTGCTTCGTGGGTAAGAAACCAATTTACATTTTTTTAATTTATTGTCCCCATTATTAAGTATGGACCTGTATAATTACCCAAGCCTGCACAAGAAGAACCGCACTGCCTTATTTGTGTTTTTTGTTCTTAATCTGGTAGCCGAAATATTGCTAAAATATATGCTTTTCAATACACTTTCAAAAATAAAACCAGACAATACAGAAAGAAGAAGAAGAAAAAAGGAAAGAACAAAGTAGGGACCTTTATGACAATATTGCAGTGGGTTACCCATCCATGCCATCAAGTTCCTAACCCCGTTCAATGAATTTTTGGTTCTTATGTATCGGTCAAATCGAAGCTTCCACATGCCCCTCCCCCCCGGGCAACCCCCTGGGCATTTGACTTTTTTGAAAATTATTGTTCAAATTCCCCCCTACCTGGGCCAAAAAAATGACAGAAGTATGGCGGAAATGCCTTCAGTTGTCAAACAAAATAATTATAAATATAACAAAAACTGAGAAACACTGTTAGCGTATTTACTACGAACAAAAGTCTCGTGCAAAGCGGCGAAAATCACTGCTACAAGGTCACTGAATGCTCAGCTTTTCTTCGTCATGCAACATACAAAGCGTTCTATAAAAATAGATCCCACCTAGTGAGATTACTACATCATGACCATTTCACTGTCATGCATCGTCGCTCACCTTATTAATTAACATACTTGCAGTAGGTCAAAGTAGTTGACCTGAGCTTTTTATTTTATTTTATATTATTTTATGTCGTTGTATTGAATCGCCGGTATAGGTATTGTATTTCATTGTAAACACAACAATAAAATACATTCATACATTCAAAGCCTGAATCCAATATTAAAAATTGTAAAATTTAAATACTTCAAATGCGGCACAAAGCTTGTTTAAGCCCTTTCCTCGTAAGCAATTGGCCACAAAGGCACAATCTTTTCCACAAAATTCCTCTTAACACCGCGTCCCCCATGATAGCTCGCTACGCCAAAGATTTTACATGAAATCGAGGGTGCAGTTCAAATTCCCCACCCCTAACGCATGGGGATCAAATTCCCCACCCCCTGAAAGACTCTGATAATCAAATTCCCTCCTCCCCGGGACGGCAAAAGTGTCAAATGCCCGGGGTATGCCCGGGGGGGGCATGTTGACGCTTCGATTTGACCGATACATTAGACATCGACAAAAAAAGAAAAAAGTAATCCACAAAACAGTAAAAGCCTGTCTTCTTCAATGCAAGAACTACACATCTGATTTCACGACCAATGAAAAAGAACTGGTGACGAAATAGAACCGCATTTCGCGAAGGTTATTACGAGATACGTAATTCTAGTTTAAAAGTAAAGACACCATCATCTCAGGTGACAGTCACGCCACCAAAGTACAAAAAATGGGAATCGAACGATTCAGCAGATAAAATTACGCTTTAGCATGTATAAGCGAGAGAAACCGCTAGCTAAAATACTGTTGATGAATAGATGCTCAAGTAACAAGACGGAATGGAGTATATGTGAGTATTAAAAATCGACAACTGACATGTAAATGACGGAGAGCTTACATTGCCACGGAAATCGAAGCTGTAACATTTTAAGACAAAACCGAACGTAATAACAACAGCGGATCATTTTGAAAACACAAATAAAATAATTGTAATCGAAAGCGTTTATGCATGCATGCAGAATTCAACCTCAAGTTTAACTCTTTTAAAAATGAAATTAAGCTTATGTAAGATACAAGTAGTGACGCATCTAATCAATAGTGAATATTACTTACCCGCTACATTTTGTGTAAGTTCAACAGCTATTTGCAAGATAATTACTACAAGAGCGTGTCCTTCTCCTCTGATCATACTACCCTTTACTACCTTTTAAAACTTTTCACGAGTGAAAATCTGACGGTCAGAAAAGGTTATCCTCTTCCGCCATTTTGATGTTATGTTTCGAATGCAAATGCCGTAATGCACTCTGGGGAAAACTCCCACATGTGAAAGAGGCTGATTTGCTGTTCTGCGATTGGCTGGTATTCAACGGAAGCAGGAATTTCAAACTGCAGTGTTCAACCTTTGTCGATATTGCGGTGCGCGTTGGTTCGAACACTTGATCATTTTCCTTGCGATCTCGCTCAGAGTCTTCAGAAATACAGCAGGATAATGTGTTCAAGGAAACGTAAGTTAATTCTGTCCTTATTTACCTTTTGAAAGGAAGATCTATTCATGTTAAAGGGACAGAGTTCTCGAAACATCGGAGGCCAGTTTTGTTATAAAGAAGCGTGCAGGTACATGCTTGCTTATTTTGGCTCGAAGAGTAGCTGGGATTCTTCTCGCTTATTTCATCACAATTTATTTACCATCAATTCCTATTCCCCAAGTTATTCTGCAATGGTTCTACATTTACTCAAGTTTGTTAATTTTCACGTTCTCCAAACTCCGACAAAAAGTGACCAAACCCGCGTGTTCATACCGTTTATTTTTGCGTGAGATAAGCTTATTTATATATACGGCGTAAACGATCTTTTGGAACGTTATGGTTATTCGTAAAGAATATTGCAACTAGGAGCCTTCGAGTCACAATATTCTTTATAACGAATCACTAACCTAACAATTAATTACTTTGGTTTATTATTGTAGGCTGAATTTCATCCGACTGCTTCAAGTCGTTGTCTCCTCTCACTGAGGGAGTAATATAACGACTTCAAGTAATCGGATGAAATTTACGCTAGGTTTATTGGTATGCAAAACATTTTTAATATAAATACGCGATAATTTACAAAAATATAGAATTTTATTTGTCTGACTCTCCACTTGACTTACATTTTGATTATTTTTTTTTACCACTAATTGGATCAACAGCACTGCAAATTCATGGACAATTTAAAGGGGAGAGTAAAATGTCTAGGGCCTTCCTTTGTTATATCTGCAGGTAGCCTACATTCGACATTCAACCTGTCTTATTTGACTATCCCAGTAGAAGAAAGTGATAAATTTCATAAAGGTTGCAAGCAAAGTGGCAAGTCACCAAGAATATGGGCACCTACTTGCCCGGGGGGGGGGGATGGGGGTACTCCCATACATTACCTATACAGGTATGTGCCGCCCAAAGGGGTCGTGATTTTGAAGCTCCTGATTTAGAATGGGGTATCTATTTCAGAGGCGCTTTCTAGAACGGGGTATAATATTTCGAATGCACGAAAGCTCCACTTTGGTAAGCAGCCATTTGAAAGTATTCAAGGACAGATTGCTTTTAAAAATACGGTTCAATGCATTAACAAGCAAACCGTTGTACTCTTGTTGCACCCTAGAACGGAGTATAAAAAATTGGCCCATTTCTAGAACGGGGTATCAGTTTTAGGGCGAATTCTAGAACGGGGTATAAAAAATTGACCCATTTCTAGAACGGGGTATTTATTTTACGGGAAATTTTTTCTAGAACAGGGTGCCAATTTGGAGTCCCGGGCGGCACATACCCACCCAAAAAATACCCAAGTGCCCCCCCCGGCCTACTTGTTAGCTATTAAAGGCATGTGAAGCTACAATCTAAACTTGCAATTTCCCAAATAAGAGACAGCAGGCTAGTCCTGCTTTTACCAACTACATGTTTTGCACTGAATTTGAATTTGAATTTATATTGCCTGCCTTTGCACCTAAATTCTATTTCTTTTGCACAGGAGATGCCTCTTCTCTTGATGACAGCCTGACCAACATTCAGTGGCTTTGCAGTCTGGATTCAAACCCACTGCTTGATCAAGAGGAGGAAAAGACCATACCTTCACCAACAGAGACCACATCCATGAATCCATACCCCAAACCTCCATTTTCCTATGCCACCCTTATCCTTCTTGCTATTAATAGCACTGAAGAGAAACGGATGACACTACAAGATATCTACAAATGGATTGAGGATAACTTTCCCTATTATCAGCATTGCAAAAAAGCTTGGAAGGTACTTGTACACCTAAGTATACTGCAAGCAGGGCTCGAAATTAACTTTTTCGTTCGGGAGCCAGCTGGCGACTAACGAAAAAATTTTGGTCGCCAGATCGTAAATTTTGGTCGCCAGCTTATTTTATATATAACTTAGACCCTGTTTACATGGAGTGGGGGACCCCAGTCTAGTGGGGTAGGTTTCTTTTGTTTTGTGTCCCCCAGGGCGTGAAAACAAAAGAAACCAACCCCACTAGACCAGGGTCCCCCACTCCACGTAAAGAGGCCCTTACACAAGAACACGATTTTATACGTTACTTTGCATGCAAGAAAAGTCACAACTGAAGAGCGAAAACAATTAGAAACAACATGAGTAACACTTAGTTATAAAGCTACCGTTGTTCTCAGGTGATATGTCTCAGGTCCGAAGGTGATGGTTGTCTCCATAGTCATTTTAAATGAAGCGAAGCATAAAACGTTTTAAGTCCGTGGTTTTCATTCTGAGACAAACACGGGTCCTTGCGTATTTGCCCTTTGCTACTTCTACGAAATGGCGTTCTTTATTTTCGACTTGCTTTCCTCGACGCCTTTCGCTGCCGACAAACAACGCCATGCTTGGCCCAGGCCACCACATTGCTCGTACCAGTCTCCGACCGGGAGGAAACATAAATGGGCTTAGTGCCGTTTTTAGGTCTTCGTTTCATTTTAGACAGAACGTTGTAGGAAAGTAAAACCTAAAATATTGCGGGAGTTTACGGAAGCACCGCTTGAATTGAATCGCCATCTCCTTACCTTAAAGTATAAAGAAACGTTGTAAAGAACTATTCACTCATGTACTTTTTCTATTAGTGATAGTTATATCCATTTATTAACCGCCCACTTTCCCTACATCAACAACTGATGAAGGATTCAAAGTTTGGATTAACCTTTTGGCTGAATCTTCATTCCCCGCACGTAAATACTCACGTATTTCCTTCAACTGATTTGTATCTGCCTCCATTTTCGCGGCAAATGAAAAGCACATGGTGTTGAAGTGCGCCTGCGATCCCAGTTTCGGAAGAAGCCACTGAAACAATATGGCGCGTCGTGAACGCAGTATCGACGTTTCGAAATACATTCAATTTTTTCGATTATCTTGTAGTATTCAGACATTATTTTACTGGGGACAGAAAGGTGAGTTGGGATACTAGCTACCGTATCCGATTGATTTCCTAATATAAAGATTTAAAAACAAAAGTTGTGTCGTGGTTTTCTTTAGCCATCGGACAAAACGCGAGTCGCCAGCTGGCGACCAGTTCTGAAAATTTAGTCGCCAGTCCTCAATTTTTGGTCGCATTGGCGACCAGTGAGTCGCAATGTCGAGCCCTGGCAAGATAAATTTATTTTAGAATCGCTAGTTGTAAATATTACATGTTTACAAATAAGTGGTTGATCAATATATATATATATATATATATTAAATTTACTTAAACTACTGACTGCATGATCCTTATGAGGCAATGCTCACCTCGGGACATCTCCGTAGTATGGACACTAAGTCATACCGACAGCAGGTATATGATCCCAACCAAGGTTAAGTATAGACAATTGATTTGAACAAATTCTTTCTATCATGGACTCCCCCTTAGTCACATTGCTGAGGGTGTCTCAGGGGTTACCTCCGTATCTAGTTTGAAATATCACCCCATGACCATAAAATTTGGCAAAACTGAGGTGACTTGGCAAGGCTGTGTTCTAGACTCACCCAGTGGCCCCTGGAGCATAACATTTCCTCCCAGGCAACTCAAAAATTTTAGTATTCTCATGGGAATCATATGCCGGGCACCCTGGGTTTCACAGGTTCGGGGCAGTGGGGTTTCTTAATTTTTCTTAGAGAACGGCCTTGCTTGGTCTTCACTGATACGAAATTATATGAAATTAATATCAATACTGCCTTTTTTGACAGAATTCGATCCGGCACAATCTGTCACTCCACAGCTTTTTTCTTAAGGCCAAGAGGCCATCCACACTTCCTGGTAAGGGCAGTTACTGGTCAATATCCCCTGAAGGTAAAGAAAATATCATGAAGGAAGTAATGAAGCACCAACAGCCAAATGTCAGGCCAAACTTAAATGCTGAGCAGTCAATCACAAAGGCGCTGCGACCCATCCTGCCTAAACCATCTGATAACCTGCTAATATCGAGCCCTATTGTGAACAGTCCCGCAACTGGCAATGTCAAATTCCTGTCTGATGCAAGTGTCACAGGGTTACCAGTCGTGATTTTGCCAACACATATGTACATGAACATGGCTAACAAAATAGCTGCTCAAGCGGCTGCCGGAAATGTGGCAGCTATTGGTGTGAATCCAACATTTCTCCCCATAACCACAAGTTCTTCGAGTACAGAGAATCAGAATTTTGGAGATGCTGTGAGACACAATGGAGCTGGGCAAAGATATGGACAAGAAACTGAAAGTAGTCTCTTGGGAAAAGCAACTCAAGAAGTAAATGCACAATTTACATCTGATTCATCTCTGCCTCAAATAGCAAATAAAATCAGCCAAGAGAATAGCTTAATCCATTGCGTAGAGCAATTGCTTTCTAGGACTGAAAGTCAGGAAAATGAGATTCTTTCTGAGGTATGTGACAATAGCACAATTGTTTCTACTAGCAGCAAAAGTCACTGGGAGTCAGGCAACAGCCATTTAAACGAAGAAAGAAATGAACCCAGAGAGATATTGGCCCCTTGTACCAAGAAAAGAAAATCAGAGAAGAGAAAATCAACCATGCATGTTGATGAGAAGACATCTTCATCAAACAAACAAAAGAAACAAAATTTGTGTCAACCCAAACGATCACCCTTACGACCACGCCCTCAACCTACTCTTGCTGCAATCAATTCTCAATCTAATGATTTAACGGCATCGCCAGGATTTTTTTTCAGTAGACACAATACAAGTGACTTGGCTGACATATCTCCTGTTAAATCAATGATCACGCCAACAAAGACCTGTGGCAGTCACAACTTTCTCTCATCTCTTTTGGGTTCACCCTTAACTTCTTCTAACTTGGGCTGCACTGGTCTCACCCCCCTGAATTATGCCTCAGATAGTGGAATTTTCACACCTCTTAAAGAGGGGGAGATGGACTTTGGGTTTCTGTTTTCCCCTGAGAGGCTTGGGAGCAGCAAGATATGTAGTACACCACAGAGCTGTCGGAAGTCTTTGGGACTTGGACTGTCCAGCAGCACTCACAACAGTAAGGCATTAGCAGATTCTCAATATACATATAGTGGTAATGATACTGAGTTTTTAAAGCTCTAACATTTACATGACAAGAATAGTTTTACAGCAGGGTTCTCATATTTAAGTTTTAAAGTAGACTGAGCTAGGATATAAAAGTAGGTGGCTTGGCAATTAAGTGCTATAAGCAATTTGAGACCTTCACGCCTTAACTTGACCCATTTTCCCCCAAAAGTAGACAGCTCAGATCTCAAGGTAGCTGGTTTTTTAGCTGCTCCCCGGCACTTAATGAGAACTCCAGTTTTACAGTACCATAAAAATAAGCTGCTACACAATGGATGCCGGGATCTTTATACCACAACTGTTTTTATTTTAAATCCTCTAAAAAGTATTTATTCATAAACGTAATTTTTAAATCTATTTGTCCTTTGTGAACTGAGATAAACAATATCAAATTAGGCCATTTGCTTGATGACATCTTTTTAATATTAAGACTAGGATTCATTTTGTTTTTTTTCTTTCATATTTTTAAAAATTTGGTAATCCCCCTGACATTAACAAAAGCCCTAATAATTTGCACAAGAAAGCAATACCCTGCAGGATTCTGGTAGTAGTAGTAAAATGATGCCATCGTGCAAATGACCTATTATTAGCTTTTAGACTGCATTTTTAAGTAGATCTTGATTACTTCGCTAATAGCAGCCTTACACTATGTACCTTGAATACGATAATTAGTACGAGAGGTTTTATCTTTGCTTTAGCTAAACTGAGATGGTCAGCAGGTATATTTTTCTTCAAAATGCGCTAGGTATACTAACTAAAAATTGGTGATCTGATGTTTCTCATAGTATTACACACAATGAAAAGAAAATCCCCAGATCACATCAAAATTTTTACTTTTTTGCAGCCTTTAAATGTATTGTACACTGTTATAATACATTTCTTTGTCAGTGTACAATATTATTACATTGCTGCAAGTAGAAATAGGTTTTTTTCCCTTACGTCTTAGCTTGGCAACGCTTTAGTGAATATTAGGCTACCTTTCAATTGCAGAATGCGAATACATTCCCGGAATAGGGGTTACTCCCTATAATGGCTTATATAAGGAGGCTCCACGCGAAAGGTGTTATCATTAAATTTTTTCACAAGTGTCAGAGTTAATCATGTATTCTAGTGAATTCATCACATATTGGTATAAAGTCAACTATCCTCTAATAATATATTGAAATAGAATCCCCAGTTTTAAACTTATTCTTTCTTAATTATAAGTATGTCTGTTAGAATTAATGCAAATCAAAACACGTTTTGTATCCAAATAACTTTTTGTATCGTGTGCAGAAGGAATACAACATCAGAAAAAGATGTAAACTAACGTAAATTAAAGCTTCCAGGCTTCTACGAAAAATTTGTGTGTTCAATTGTGTCCTCGGCCTCTTTGTGACCCCCTTTGTCTCAAGATTTTCTGCAAAACATGTGCTAGACAAAAAAATAGTCGCAAAAACACTTCGAGCAAAGTACCTTATTTTTTCCACGATCTTGTGCTGGTGACCCCCTACCCCCCTTCTCCCCTCGTCAAAGTTGCTGGCAGTACAAAATCATGCTCAAAACTTGGCGGAACAACTTTGAATGGAGGGGGTGATCTGCATGAGAGTTATGTCTCGCAGCCATGTGACTTGCAGCTATTTGAAGTCAAAACGCTGCTTTTTCTTGGGAATGTCTCAAAATAATACAACTGGGCCCAGTTGTTCGAAGGCGGGTTAGAGCTTAAACCCGGGTTAAATTTAACCCGGGTTTCTTGTTCTTGTGTTCTAAAGAATTTCTCGGATAATTTTCTCTGTTATTTTTAGAGCTTCCAATCATCAACTTGTAGACAAAAAGAATTAAAACTGAAATGCCTTTTAAGCTTTCAAATCTGAATTCAAATCTCGCACTAACCCCGGGTTATCTTAACCCAGCTTTGAACAACTCGGTCCTGAATAATACTGGCTTGCGCACAGGCGGCCCAGACGTAGTTTGTGTCACTGAATGAATATTATTAATATTCACATGGACAAATTAATGCGATTAGTCGTCGAAACTCCCATGGACTAAAATAGTCCAAAATTCAAAATATAACAAAACAAAGCTAAGATACCTTCAACTGAACGTATCCTTGTCTTTCCTGGCCGGTTTAAGTGGCATTTTGTTGAGTTTTGCAATTGTAGGTACTATCCAGTAAAGAAGAATTAACGGCTGGCTACAAAACAAACAGACCATCTCCACGCGCCTTCACACGAAGCGCTATAAAGTCGAGAATAATCGACGAATCCGCTCCAAATAACCATCGGCTAATCTGCAGCGAACGTGTGCTCCTGCTTCTGGCTCGCTTACTCCACAAAACCCATCGCAACTGCACAATAACAACCACTGTTGACCTTTACGCTTCGATATGACCGCAAACGACCAGGGTTAATACGCCACGTGAATATTCAAGCTTAGCGACCGCGTTCGCGCAACAATGCAGCACTTGCTATGGGAGGGATGGTACTATTGCTTCTAGGTCAATCGACTGTCCGAAGGTTCGCTGCGTTAGTTTTGACCAGAAAACAAAAGGCGATCCCGGGACCGTTCGTAAGTTTTCAACAGGGCAGCCCTGGTTTTCAAGTTCGAATTCTTCTAACGTTCGCTGTCTCAGCTGCTGTCACATTGTTCGTCCAGCCGCTTGCATAGGTTCTTGACTCTACCAGACTTATTTTCTTAGATTAACAACGTCTTACTCCATAATATGTTGTCCAAACTGGTGAAGGAGGACGAGGATTTTCCGCCCAGGAAAAAGGCAAAATCTGTCCCCCGCTGTGCAGCTGAATAGAAGATACAGCTGAAGATATCGTAAAGTAAAATTTATGTGCGCGATATCTTTTATTATTATTATTATTATTATCATTCTCAAAACTCAGGGGCACCAAACGATGATTTCCCCCTAAATGCATTGAAAACACATTTAAAAGGCTGTCCAGAGTACTTTTGATCGAAAAATGCATTCTAAACAGCGCTTACATAAATTTAGTCAGGAGGGCTAAAAGCGAAGCTAATGATTTATAGTTTGCTCATACTTAATATAAAATATATCGTGTAATGCTAAGCGGAGAAGGCAACGAGACAGGGCCACCCAACGACTGTTTCCTCAAATACTTTCAATTGAAAACACTTTTGTAGCTATTCATAAAGTACTTTTAGCTCTATACTGAAATGCAGTCTAAGTTGCGCTATAAAATTTGCATCTCAGTGTTCGGCCATTCTAGAGGAACTTGAGTCTTTTCGAAATTACGAGGAATTCAGAATTATTTACCCGAAAATTTTAGGTGCAATTTAACGTATTACGAAGGAGATAATTTTTCAGATACCTTCTTTCATCACATTTTTGAATCCGAAAATTTAAGGATTCCATTCTACTCTCTACGAAAAATAGCCTAACCCGGTGAGTGAAATGTGAAAAATTAAAAGTTGGATGCCCTTGACCAGAACTGTGAAAAACAACAATAGGTTTAATTGCAGCACACTTTCTTGTACATTTCCTTGCCGTTGATTTGCATGACTGCAACGTAAAACGTCCAGAAAACTTCCTGGTTTTCACTTTTTATGGAGAAAATGTGGTACATGTTCTTGTTCACTTTTTCCACTGCCGCTCATTTTTTTTAGCTCCGCTATAAGATTCGTATCTGTTCGGTGCTCCTAGGGCAAATTGGATCTTTTTAAAAATTACAAGGGCTTCAATATTATTTTCCCGATTGATTGACCTAGAGCAATAGTACCATCCCTCCCATAGCAAGTGCTGCATTGTTGCGCGAACGCGGTCGCTAAGCTTGAATATTCACGTCGCGTATTAAACCTGGTCGTTTGCGGTCATATCGAAGCGTTAAGGTCAACAGTGGTTGTTGAAGAGCGAGCAATTATTGTGCAGTTGCGATGGGTTTTGTGAGCAAGCGAGCCAGAAGCAGGAGCACGCGTTACCTGCAGATTAGCCGATAGTTATTTGGAACGGATTCGTCGATTATTCTCGAATTTATAGCGCTTCGTGTGGAGGCGCGTGGAGATGGTCTGTTTGTTTTGTAGCCAGCCTTTAATTCTTCTTTAGTGGATAGTACCTACAATTGCAAAACTCAACAAAATGCCACTTAAACCGGCCAGGAAAGACAAGGATACGTTCAGTTGAAGGTATCTTAGCTTTGTTTTGTTATATTTTGACTTTTGGACTATTTTAGTCCATGGGAGTTTCGACGACTCATCGCATTAATTTGTCCATGTGAATATTAATATATTCATTCAGTGACACAAACTACGTCTGGGCCGCCTGTGGCTTGCGCTTGCAGTAAAGGTACCGGAGTTTCGGAACCACCCACCATTTAACGCCTCCATCAAACCATTGGAGTTTTTTGAAGTGAAAACTATTAAGCCTTTCAAAAGCTAGGGAAGATACTATAAATAACTAAATGCAGTACCTAATCATTGAGGGATGGGTAAGGCTCGGGATAGCTTTTCACGAACGCCACATCAGGCTCCAACGGTTGACCGGGACGGCTTGGTGAACTAAATCCCAGTCCTCACTCCTGAATTAATTTTTTACTTCCTTAATGGTTCCAAGGTTCCAGACCTCTCGGACCTCTCGCCTTACTTATTCACTTCCGCTACTATCCGAATACGTGTTCAGTGGACGCTCCAGTTTTTCGATCCGCTCTTCACTCCTTTCGCTCCGTTACAAAAATTGCACCTAAATCATCATCCCTTTTTATGTGTGAACAAAAGCCTCTTCCGGTATGGTTTTTTTGCCGGCGCAATCCTGACCTATCCTCAGACCTATCCTAGCTAGCCTTAAATGCGCCAATAGGACAATTGCACGATGACGATATTTGACTACAACTACCAGAATTCATTTCGGTTTTGCTTTGTTATTTAAATTTGTCAATCCCGCTGAGGATCAAAGAACAATAGCCTTAATTTGCACAAGAAAACAACAAACTCAAGGATTCTGGTAATTGTAGTAAAATGACGTCATCGTGCAATTGTCCTATTGAGAATTTGAATGTAAGCACAGCAAGAACAAGAGAAAAACAACACATAGTGTTCTAATCTGTTAAAGTAAAACTAGGTGGACACAAGCAAACAGGGATCGCGCACTGACTTACATCCAGTCAAGTTTAAGCTCAAGCTAAGCAATGCGGAATTATTTTGGTCCATCATCGTGTTGGAGGAGTATGTCTGACCGTTTCAACAGCTACTACCCTGTTGAACATTTTGTCTAATTTGCTTCCCTCTTAGATCTAGATGAAAAATTTTCATTTCACACTTTAAGCGTCTCTAAGCAAGCCGGGGCTGAATCACTTATCCGACTTCGATCTTTTCCCTATGATGTTTAACGAGCAAAACAACAGTTTTGCTTTTGCAACACACTTTTTGGTGCATTTCTTTGCCGCACCTTCACGATCACAACGTAAAGTTTCCTTTCCTTAGTTTAATTTCCTTGAAAAAGATATACTATTCAGATTTTTCCAAAACCAATTGGCGTAATTGAGTACCATATATAGGACATTGTAAAACTGCAACAAAAAGATAGGGTCACCGTGCTTGTTTTCGCCTTGCGTACCGGTAATTCTAAGCGTGCGTTATTCCCTTTTTGCGCGCGAAATGATCGAAAAAAAAATTCTTATCTGATCATACACCAAAAAGTTTGAATCTTACTAAAACTTAAGGCTCGCTTGTTTGTTTGGGCTGTAACTTTTCAGTACAGTGACTTAAAATTACCCGATCTTGTAAAAAAAAAAGGCAGGGAAATGGACAGTTTTACAATTATCTCATGTTCTTCTGTGGCTCGAAATGCGGAGGTTCCCATCATTCATACCTCTATTATCCCGATTTTTAAATTTCTCCTTAACATATACTATTCGTGTAGCCATAAAACACCAACAAAATGGGGAATCACTTTTTTTGTCGTTTCATCGCAAAAAGACCACAAAGGGACAATTTTGTCTTCAAGGGATCATTTTGAGCGAAGAGACTGGGGCGGGTGTGTGTGTCAAGACCAATACCTCTTTTGCCGGGAAAAGTTATTAAAATGGTTATTAAAAGCATTTGGATCACAAAATGGACCTTTTTACCCCCTCTCTAGGCGGCTAGTGAAAATTTTCGCCACCTTTGAAGTCGCAATGTTATGTGCAGTAGCTGATGCGTAGTGCAAAACAAGTGAATTACCTGATGTTGACATTTCTTTCTTCGTTGCATTATACGCTCACTATTGGAACCGCGCGAGAGATGTGATGTTATGGTGACAACTGGATGAGTAACCTCAGCCCTGGGATTGACGGTACTTGCTGCTTTGAAGAGTGTCACTTGGTATTAGCCTCGGCGGGTGGGAGCGTGGTTGGTGAGTGGGCTGTTGGAAATGATTAACTGAAAAACGACTGCAAGACCTCGAGACACTACCAACAAAACTTGGAACTTTCTAGAAAACACAATTACCTCACTTTATTAATTTGTAGGCGATTTTGAAATACAAGTTGTCCAAAGAAGGTTATTGATAAATTCTCGTGGTTCCTTTGTCGGCAGATAACTTGTGTTTTGACGTCAAATATTATGACGTCATAGCATTGACCTTGTCCTTGATTTGTCCCTTAGCAGGGTGGTTAATATACATATGCCTTTTGGTATAGTGCCAATAAAATTACAAAAACAGTAAAAAGAATAGAATACAAGCGTAACGACTACCATTGGTAAACTTGGATTCGGAATCGGCATTTGCTGTTTTTTTTTTCTAATCGCCACCCTTCGCTTCGCAGCTTTACATAGTGGAAATGTCTCTTTTAAATATTTTGCCTTCGATTAATTCCTGAGGAAACTTTATTTGTATAAGCCCAAGTTTTGGTAAATATTCAATTGGACCATGGGCGGTGCAGTTTGAACCTAAAACATGTGACCTTGGTGAGTTTTTACAATTTCTGATTTCTTTCTGTGATTTTGGATCGATCCATTTAGAGCCTAAAATTTGAATTCCGTGATTTTCTGGAAGACAAAACAGCGATATTTCTAAGAAGGAAAGGACCTGGATACAACGTGCGATGATATCAATTTTTTCGCAGACAAAACATTAAAGGACAAGCAAAACTTTAATTTGCGATTCACGTGCATAAGTTGTCCAAATAGATTGACATAATCACCAAAAAAAATACATATAGACATACTTTCGGTATATCTTGTACATAAATATTGAAGCTGTTTGTTTTTTTTTATAAATCTTAGAAGCGCAAAGTTTTCTGATTTATCCACAAGATCATAAATCTGAAACCTGAGTTTTTTTCAAATGTAACATTTGGAAGATGAACGGCTGAACTTTATCCTTTGTTACTTTCTGTTACATTCATTCGTGGAATCACAGCGGGAAGCTTACAACGCAAGTTTATAGAATTCTATCAGCCAACATACATATTTCGTAAATAAATGTAGTAGGCCAGCGCATTTTTACAGCAATATTTTTCCTCATTCGATCTTTTTTTAATTTTTTAAAAATCTAACGTTCCCTTATCAGAAGATCTATTTGAAATCGTGCAAGGAACGTAGTTTATTGTTTTTACTTTCGGCTCAGTTCCGCAAGGGGGGATTGGATGCGTTAATTAAGGTTTTTTTTGTCAAGAAATTGCGGTAAAATCTTTCCTCAACAGCTGCATAATTAGTTATGTTTGAAATTTCTCAATAAAAATTCAGGAAAACATAAATGTTGAAATAACATGAAGTATTTAGGCCAGTTTACATAGTAAACATACATTTTGAAACCCTGTTTATTTCCCAATATTTGAAATCAGGCTTATTAAAGTTTAAAGCTTTCACAGAGCTTATTAGGAACTTCCTAACGGTGTTTTGAGTAAGAAAAGTTCTTGTAAATTTAAAGTTGTTTTCATTTCGTTTCTGGGTAACCCGTCGATTTCTCTTCTAATGTTAATTTTAATTGTTCTGCGACTTCGCTGAAGCATTTCTGGTCGTCATCCAAAGTTTCCATTCTAAGTTTCTTTGTAGCATTTCACCTTAAGGCGCGAGAAGTTATGTTTATTTAATGGCAAACGTTTCGTAAAATAATAGGTCTGCACTATTTCTCAGTGTTCAAGAGGAATTAACGCGGTTGTTTTTCAACGAAAAGAAAACTGAAATGACGCACAAATAAGGTAAATGTTTTATTTTCAAACGTTAATGATCATGAAATAATTCTAGTTGCGGGAAAATATTTATTGTTTCCTCCTACCGTGGCGAAACTTTCATCCCTGACAAGAAAACAGAGCCGTTCTCGTCTAAACATCGATGAAAATTCCTTTGTGTAAACTCATTAGAAAATGCTAAAATATCAAGAGCAAACTTAAAACACGACAAGTATTTTCGCTTTGCCCTTAAAGAATTGCGATTCTTTAGACAATTAATTAATGCAGTTTTTTTTGTCTCCTCAAACTTAGACTAAACGATTGACCAAGTCTTTTGGTGGACTTTAAAAGATGGTATGGAAATGACTGGCTCAAACATTGCGTTAATTTCACCCAAACAGCGTGAACGGGATTACGTTATTGAACTCTATAACTGCGGTTAATCTACGCTTAATTCTGCTGACATTCAAGGATACCGACGCACTGCCTTTGGCCTTTGGCCGGTGCCTGAAAATATTCCATCATGAATAAGAACGTCGACGAAGATTTCCCGCTAAAAGATATCCTAGAGGACGTTCCTAATGAGGGCACCCAGACGCTTTTTTCGCCAAAAACAAGTTTCTCAGCAGATGATAATGAGCTTGACGAGCAAGGCTTTGATAATGCTATACCGGCTGTTTTGTTATCGCCGTGCTCACGAAGGACAAGCGTTTCAGAACAAGGGCTAAAACGTGCATGCTCTGGTGAATTGCTTGTTCCACCATCACCGTTTATTGTTCCAAAAAATATTCCCTTGACAGATCTAGAAGAAGATCGAAAACAAACATGGTGTATTTTTCCAAGAGATTTGTCTCTTTCGTTACCTCTAACCTCTGCTAATTCAAGCACCGATATCAGATGTGATAGTGGATATTCCGGAGAATTTTTGAGCAGTCCAACGCGAGGGGATGTCGAGGAACAACCATGTGAAGGTGATGGATACTTGTTTGCGAACCATGCGGGCTGTCGAATGGCTCCGTTACGAGCTTCAATAGGTTCTTTAGGTGTTGAAAGCCCACATGAAGTCAACGATAGAAAGATAGAAGAGTTGCCTTTGGCAGCTTCGGCACCGAATTTACACCAGGACAGGACTGCAGGTTGTAGGCGACCTTCAGCGCAACTTTGTTGTATACTTCGCACAAACTACACCACTTTATCCACCCCGGCGAGTTCGGAATGTTCCTCACCATTTTCAAACCAAAGTTCTGAAGATAATTCAGATGAGAAAGGGGAGCTTATTTTTCCAAATGTAGAATTCAACTGTTCCATAGGGGACGAGAGTGATTTACCTCTGTTGACAGCAACTGATGCACCTACGCCTAAGACTTCAAGTACAGTGGTAAAGGATCCCATGACATTTTTTTCTCCGAAAGAAAAAAACCGTTGCAAACAGCTCTCTACACCCAATTTAAGTCTTGGTGAGAAATGTGTTTCACAGTCATTGAACTGGAAACGCAGTAAAAAATCACTTGTTTTTGTTAACGATTCTCTGGCAGACAAAAACGTAAGTTCAAGGTTAAACACGGTGGACGCAAGATCAAATATGTCATCATCAGCTTTTCTGCATCCAGACTCAGCACGATGTTCTTTTGAAGAAAGTGCAGCGCCCTCACTTCATGCAAGTTGTTCAAATCTGTCGGCCTACCAAAAAAGAAGGGCCTTTTCGCGTTCCAGGCGACCTAAACTTGAGCATCAGTCTTTAAGTTTGCAGAGCTCTGCTTCATCTGCAGTTGAGGAGTCATCGAATAAAAGTGACACCTCTTCAGTAATTAGAAGTTTTTTATCTCTAATCTCTCCATCCCGATTACTTGCAAAGTTGAGTTCGTCTAAACATAGTGTTCGGAGCACAGACTCGAGAGCTTCTCGACAAAAACGACAACATATTGATTGTCCCGAGGACACCAAAATTGTGACTCTTAATGTGAGTGGTAGGTGCTTTAAAATCAATGAATACTTCCTTTCAATCTACCCTAGTACTTTGCTTGGTAGTAAAGCGATACTATACTACTACGACAGAGTTAGAAACGAGTTCTTTTTCGACCGAGATCCGGATTGCTTTCGATACATTTGGAACTTTTATCACTCTGGGGAACTCCATTGTCCACGGGAGGAATGCCTCCAGTCGTTTTTGGACGAAGTGGCTTTCTTTGGTCTGGACGTCAGCATGTTATGCAATTGCTGTTGGCAAGAAACTTTCGAGCCAGCGTACGAAAAGCTAACAAAACGAAAAGCAGAACAAGAGGCTGCGGATAAAGAGGCAACTGAGGCTACACACCTTCTTAGGCCGGACGCAGCTTTCAGGGAAAAAGTTTGGATAACATTGCAAGAGCCATCTTTCTCGTTGATCGCCAAGTTGTTCTACCTTTTGAGCGTTTTTGTGATTGCTATCAGCGTCGTAGCAAACACCGCGGAGACTATTGCGTGTGAAGGCACGATAAGAATATGCAAAGAGGAGAACGAGGAGACGTACTTCAACATAGATACGGCGTGCGTCGCGTTTTTTACGTTCGAGTACGTTGCACGGCTCATGGTCTGCCCGCGCCGTCTGAGATTTTTCATAAGCGTCATGAGTATCGTTGATGTGCTGGCTATTCTTCCGTATTACATTAACCTATTGCTGGAATATTTGTCAGTTGGTGCTAGCTCGGGAATGGAGGCCTTCGTGGTACTGCGAGTTCTGAGAACTCTCCGTGTGTTTAAGCTTTTACGCCATTCCAAGCGCTTAAAGAAGTTACTTCAGAGTATGAGAGATTCGGCAACAGAGCTTGGCTTGATAGGGTTTGTTTACATGGTTATGGTCATTTTGTTTTCCAGTATTATTTACTTTGCGGAGTTGTCGGAGGATACACAATTTACCAGCATACCGCAGGCCATGTGGTATGCAGTCATCACGTCAACCACTGCTGGGTAAGTTATGTATTGTACGCGCGAAGTTAATCTTAAACGAAAACCAAACTTTATCGCGTCTATTTGGACCCACTCAATATTTCAAATGCAGGCGACGTTTCGTGGAGTTGAATTGTTAAGGATTTTATTCAAGTTCATAAAGAGGAAGGAAAATTCGTCGTCGTATGTCCACGTACTCCATAAAACGTCAAATTAAGAGGTTTCACGTCGTAGTCGTGTAGTGGACGTCAAAGAAATGTATTAAAAAGCGTGATGCACGGGCAGAGCCGTTGTTTTGATCATTCAATCGATTGTTTTCTGAAGCTGTCGTCGTCGTCGTTGCCGTCGTAGTTAGTCGGAAGCCGAAATCTTGTGATGCCTACTTCAAGTAACTTTTAGGCTGAATGATCATTTTAAATAGTCATTTTAGCTAAATTAACAATACGTATATTGCACTGTATTATTTCTAGGTAAAAGTGTCCGATCCTTTAGGCATGCAGTAAGATTGGGCACTTATTAAATATGATGATAATGATGATGATGATGATGATGATGATGATGATGATGATGATGGTGGTGGTGGTGGTGGTGGTGGTGGTGATGATGATGATGATGATGATGATGATGATGATGATGATGGTGGTGGTGGTGGTGATGATGATGATGATGATGGTGGTGGTGATGATGATGATGATGATGATGGTGATGATGATGATGATGATGATGATGATGATGATGGTGATGATGATGATGATGATGATGATGATGATGATGATGATGATGATGATGATGGTGATGATGATGTGCTTATGCTTATGTTTACCTCGTACTTGGTAAACAACCTTAAAATGGCAACAAAAACCTCTAAAATCAATGAACTTCTCACCACCGCTTTGATTTTTCGTTCTTTTCAAGTTACGGTGATATCATTCCAGTGACCTTAGCAGGCCGTCTGGTGGGAAGCGCTTGCTGCCTGTTTGGTGTTCTGGTGATTGCATTACCCGTACCAATACTGCAGATCAAGGTAGGTTACTATTTGATATCAAAACTAGCTGGATTGTACCAAGTAAGGAAACGCAAGACAGTGTTGGATTCTGGAATCCACGCCATGGATTCTAAATTCCTTTTGATAGTGGAATTCCGGATTCCTAGTGCTGTATTCGGAATTTCAAAGCCCGGGTTTCTGAATTCCACAAGCAAAATTTTCTGGATTCCTGAATCCGGATACCCTTACATGGGGCGAAGAGTACTGCGTTACGTTGCCGTGGAAGATCTGGAATCGCACTAGCAAAGTTGCAGTCGAATATAAGCGGAAGGGTTTCAGAGTCCCTGCCACAACACAACCCCCCTCCCCCCACCACCTAAAAAATCCCAAAGTACCACTCGGGAAGAAATTATGGATCAATTTAGGTTCCTGGGAAACTGCCCACCTTCCCCTTCCCTAGCCCAACATTTTGCCCTAAGTGAGAAGTAAGTGTTAATGTTGACTAAGGGGAGGGGTAGGTGGGCAGTTTCCCAGAAACCTAAATTGATCGAAATTATGCCAAAGAAAAGTAAAGATTAATACACCAAGTTATTTGCTTTGCAAAAAAATCATTTATACCTGCTTGAAATTATTTTTTGATTGTAGTGAAGTGTGTCATTCGCAAGTGGAGTAGAACCGATGTTGCAGAAGATACACGAAAGAAGCGGAGCAGACACCAAACGACCATTTCACCGACAGGCAAATGTTCAATTAAGTCCATCACATCAATCACTCTCTGTTGACATCGATAAACCTTAACAAATCAATTCAAAAAGCTTTGGGGCGAAATACAGGGTTCTCTCTCCAAGGAATTGGACAATCTTACCAAGTAGCTAATGACGCTAATGACCTAATGAAGCTTAATGAGACCGATAGGGATGATTTTCCAACCTTACAAGTAAATTGGTCAAACCCATATGTTAGGATCTGCAATTTCTGGTAGAACGGCAACTGCCTTTGTTAACTGAATCTAATGTACACTTTGAAATCTGGAGACTTTAGCCAAAGCCGAAAAGATTTAAAGGCTTTTTTGAAGGGTTTAAGCCATGAGTCGCGACCATAGAACTATAAACTTGAGTGCGCATTTCCACTGCTGTCCATGAACGTAATCACTTTCAAATTTTGCAGAGCGGTATACGTTCTAACAACTAGCCTCTGTGAAGTGAAACCCTATTTGAAATTTACTTCGTAAATGGGTGGCTTGTCAATACAATCCTGTGTTGCCAATGATATCAATAAAATTCTGTTCACTTCTGAGGTGAATAATACTTTAATGGGTACATGCCAAACCAATAAAATGCTCCATCAAAAAAAGATCGAAAAAAAAGAAACAAGAGACAAACAAACACATTTCAAACTGCAAATACGCGAACCCAGAAAAGCGCGGAAACTTCTTCAATCGACAAAACAAAAACTTCGTCTGTTGGATGATTTTTCTATCTCGCGTTCAAATTATAGTGGCTTTTGTTCGTTTTTCTGCGCATCCAAAACAGGAAGATTGTGTCATTTGCAGCTGTTTTAAAATTTGTCTTGGTTGAGATATGCTACAAGAAAGGACTCATTCATTTTGGAAGGCCGAGACTATTATATTCGTGATTAAGGTGGCCTGGTTAACGTACACCTTTTAACAAAACACTCTGATTTGTATTGCTTTAATCAACGTTACAACGGTTATGTCAGACAGCCTTGTCCAGCTTTCTAGTTTATGGGAAAAAAAAATTCTGCTTCTAATCAAGAATCGGTTGTTTTTGCTTATACACCGCTAATGCGCATCTCCCATAATTCACCTTATTTTCCCTCCCCCACCCTCCAAAAAAAAACAAAAATTGCATAACCTTTGATTTTCATTTCTCTTAGGTATTACAGCCATCCTAAGAGAAATTGAAAATAATGCGTGTGCAAAATTTTGGGGGGCAAATAAGGTGCATTATGGGAGACGTGCAAGTGGCGTATAGCAGAGCTCTCACGCGCGCATCTCTCACGCGTGCATCTGAGAAAAGTTGGTAGTCACGGTCCGTCCGCACCACAGGGTAACCAATATAAAATGACCTTTTTTACTTTGTGTGGAGCCTGCAACCTGTGTTTAACTTGATGACAGATTTCCATGTTATGGTCATCTTGGCCATCCGGGCTTAAAAAAAGAAAACAGCAACAATGCCGAGTCGTTTGATGAACATTTCTATCAGTGTATAAAACTATCTGTTCTGAAAGTTGGTAATAATGTGAAAGGAATTATTCAATAATAGACTGATCATACATGATCATAGATCATTACCCCTAAATTTTATTCAAATCCTAATCCTAGATCAAAGAAAATTTGATTCGATAAAAAGAAAACGTCGATTCACTTTTGTCTATAGCTTCCGCTTTTGCAGTGTAAGTTCTGTCTTGATAAGCAATAAAGAAATGAATGTATAAAATCGAGAAAACATGCCTCTAAAAACCGCTACAAGTTTTTTTGCGTCCTTGATAGATTAACCAATCTGCCAATCTGCTTGTGCTTCCAGTAAAATCCTCCATGTTTAGTTATATTAGAGGATAGGAAACCACGTGGGTGTCGAAAGCTCGGGGGCGACCTCGGGGTGGGCAATTGCCTGGCCCCCGGACCACGCAAAATTTGCTAATGACACACCCCCAGGACTGACAAGGTAGGCAAATGCCCTGCATGGAGGGAGGCAGGGGAATGGGCACAGTTGGATTTGAATGATGCATAAGGGATATCGAGAGAAAAACGAGTGAGTGGTACGCAAAAGGAGACACCGGAGCAAGGTGAGGGGAAAGAAAGTGAGAGCTCACTCGCGCATTCCGTCGCTTGCCACTCGAAATAGTGACGTTGCTACCAGTCCATAACATTTCTTGGTAGTCGTGCGCGTTCGCTATTCGGTGAGCCAGTTTACATTAGGGGTTCCCAGGAAAAATTCGAGCTATCTAATACATACTAAGTAACGTGCACTATGGCTCCACGTCTCCACTTTCACCCATTTGAACTAGTGCCTGACACAAAGAATCCTTGCAAGATACCACTACGGCCGAGTGTACGTTCCTATAGCGTATTGTTCTGTACACTCTCGGCAAGCGATCGGATCTTCCGAGAATTATTTCCGACTGCGTCAGACCCCCAAATTTGTCGGTTCTAGACCTCGCTCCAGCTAAGCGCAAATTTCAAAATGGCCGCCAAGAAGACAGGTCTCTGCAGGATCATCCAGCCGTCCATCTAATCCATGTGTAGTGAAGTTAAAGAATTCGTGACACTTTGTACAATGAATCGTGACTTGTTAACCTTGAGTGAACAATAGATCAATTACTAGCTTGATAGGAACCGGAAATATGATCCCTATTGTGTAAGCAAGCGTGCAAAAATGTGCATCGTGTAAAGTAGACAGTTAGAAGTGCCTTCCGATCGGAATAGCGTACTAGGGTTTTCTGCAGGATGGAATGATTACTGAAACCTAGCCGCTCAGGATTTACGTAAGTAATGTAGGTATAATAGCTTTCAATCGAATTAGGGTGTTTACTAGAAAGGAAACCACATGCATTCCCTACTATATTTAGCTACCAATATGTATAAAAGTACCTTGATTTACAATAAATGATGAATGTGATCAGGACTTGAGTGTGAACAAGTCTCTTAGAATACTGATAGCCCGAAACTGGCCAGGTCTAGAGATACTCAAGCAGTCGACACTTATCTGTTGGCCACGAAATCAACTCCCTTTTACAACACATGCATCGATTACTAAGTAAGTGTTCGTTATTCATTTATTACAATCTGCAGGATGTGAAAGCTTCCTGTGTTTTCAGTTGATGGCTGGCATTGAAAAAGGTGCAACGATTGTAGCGAACCGGCCCAAGATCAGAAATCAGCGCAGCGTTCATAGAAGAACGGTTACCTAGAATAACACAGAAGTCTATCTTTTGGTTGTCACCGTGATTTTAGAGCACTGAAAAATTCTCTATTTAATCACTACAGTTTCTGCACCGTGAACTAGGGCCTGTTTGACTGGAAACATGCACCGCGAGCGTTGTTCTTTCGGCAGAGGCACGCGCAAGTGAACAAAAATTTTAAATTATGCTGATTAACACTGAATGGAGGAAATATTAGCGGGGAGAGAGGAACAATATACTTAGTTTTTCTTCACTCTAGCTTCCGCCCTCGTTCCTCGTGGCTTTGGTGCTTTATCCTCGCATGTGCTAACGATCCACTGAAAAAGAAATGAAAGAAAGAGAGAGAGAGACTGCTCGCAGTCTACTGAAACTAGACTTTTCTATTATATGTATACTTCGACATGATAGTAGCACGACGTCGAGCTTGCCGTGTTACCTACACGTACAGGGCAGTAGCACGACGTTTGAAAAGGTCTCTAAAGGATCCTCTGAGGGTCTTAATCGGCTTAACCGTCAGCTGTTGAAAGACCAAAAAATTAACCTTCAACTGTCAAGAAAGGTTAATTTTCACTATCTACTGTCAAAAGTGAAGACTAGTATTAACCTTCAAAACGTTTCAAAGTGTTTCAAATCTTACTATTTCAGCTGATCTTCCCAAGATTCTAGAGGGTCTGATGGGGGGGGGGGGGTCCATTTGTCGGTTGTCGGTTAAAATTCAGTTACTTTGTCGGTAGTCGGTTAAAATTTTCGATCTTTGTCGGTAGTCGGTTAAACTTCTTGATTTTTGTTGGTTGTCCGAAAATCTCAGTTACTAAGTAAAAACGCTTGTTAATTATTAATATTTTTATGTATTTCACCAAGTTTCAAGACTTTGATCCCAAGGGAAAGAGTAAAACTTGTAAGAATGCATTATTTGATTGCCACTTAAACTTCATTAACTCTTGTTTGTTTATGCAACATGATCGTCAGGAGCCGATCGACTCCTGTGGTCGTTTATTTCACCATTGTTTGCCAAATGAATATCATGCGTACTGATAAGATCACCAAACCTTTTACTGTAAATGGGAACTTGGTTTCCCTGTCGATTACACGGCACAGTAAAAAGTAATTAATTAATTAATGGACACCAGCCTTTTGGATGCTTAAATTATCAGCTTAGTGGAAAACTGCAAGGGGTGACGGGCTGCACATCTATCCTTTGCCATAAGTTTCCTTCCTCAAAGAAATAACACTTTAACCCTCGGACATACAAGGGGTGGGGGGTGGATGCCACCCCCTCTAGGTTTTCTGGGATTTTTCCAAGAGGATAAAACATCAGCACCTGAGGTTTTCAGTAGATGTTCGTTTATCCCTCGCACGCATTTTGAGAAAAGTTCAGTGATGATCAGTTTCTATGGTTACGAGGTATGACGTAATAAGTAGCAGGTTGTCAAGCCATTTCGCGTGAAAATATATGTTTTTTTCAACTTTTTTCAACAATAAAAGAAAAATCTTGTACCTAAAATCATGCAAAGTGCTTATTTATGTGTTTTATTCATGTCAAGCAATAAACATTTCTCTTCGTTTTAACCTTTTTTTATAAATTAATTCTTTGTAATATCTAAGATGGCGGCAAAGATGGCGATCATCGTTGGTGACGTAACAGGCCTCCAGCAGTGCCACCATTCATAAAATATACCTCATCTTGTTAAGAAGATCAAAGGCTTTTCAGTGAAGGCAAAATCGCTTCGAAATACTGCAACATATCAAAAACTCTGGGGAGGGGTTCCATCTACCATCCTCTTGTACCATGGTGGGGGGTATGATTTTGCGTGTACGTCTGAGGGTTAAGTTGGCAAGGTAGTGGTTGGTTTTGTATGAGATTACACTTTTACATTAAAGTTTCTTTTATAATAGACACTAAGGGCTTGTATTGTGTCACGAAAGGCAATATTTCTTTTTCTTCCTTGTTGTTTTGTTTCAGGAGCGCTGCTTTTCTCCTGTGAGTTTTACTTCTAATAGCAATTTTTACTTCAAAATTATGTGGCCAGCCTCTGTCCATCAACCGCTTTTTGAAATCTGAAATACTTCCTCAGAGGAGTTTGTTCGTAGGATATTCAAGGCCAAATCCATTGGTGAAATCCAGTTTAACTTTCGGTGGGTGGTAAGAGGTGAAAATGTATATACGTCTTTACGTCAATGATAGCTTTTTCTCATTTTTGTTGAATGTTGTGCCTTGGTAAACAACGGGGTCTAAAAAGATTGTCTCAGTGTCACATATTTCGGGCGTAAATTTCATAGCCAGTAGAGCAGTAGGGTGAAGTAAGTTTACTTGTTCCGTGAATTTGAAGAAATCTACCATGTCTGGTTTACTTATGTCCCATAGGGAAAAAATATCATCTATGTAGCATTTTCAAACAGCTGGTTTAAAGACGGTTTTGCTTAAACTTTGTGTTTCAATATATGCGGCCATGAAAATGTTGGAAAGGAAACTGCTGTATGTGCTCATCGCGGTACTGTGGTTTCTTACTGATAGTGCTTTCCATTAAACTGGAAAGAATGTTCTTTTAGGATTAATCTAAACATTTCTCTGGCCGAATCAAGAAATGTTCAGTTTTTTCAGCTTTGTCTTTTCAATAAAATATATAAAGTCGGTAGCATCTTTAAGGATGGTGGCTTCTGATTATGATATTGGTTGTAGTAATGTAGCCGTATCAACAAAAGAGTAAGTTCTTTCTGTTAGATCATCTGATGAGTCATAAATTTAAAGAGGTTACTTCCTAACGGCTGGAAAAAATGCAAAATGCTCTTTTTTTCTGAAACAAATATTGATAATGTCAGCCCATGTCGGTAGTCGGTTAATATTTTTCCTGTCGGTAGTCGGTAATTTTTTACTCGTTTTGTCGGTAGTCAGTAATATTTTTAGCCCTTTGTCGCTAGTCGGTTAACCCCATTCACACCCTCATTCTAGCTCCTGAAGAATCTCTAAACTGGAAAAACCAGTTCTCATATCTCAAAAACACTTTTTATCGACATTGCAATATCCTACAACATGCTTACATGTATATCTGAAAATATTTGTGAGAGGCCAAAAACAGTTAACATTAATTCATACAGAAGTTAATATTTATTTTTACTTCTGGACTGAATATCCACTAAAATTATAACCATCAAGATAAACTCTCTCCTCTTAAAAATTGGCTAGTTAGACTGATGCATTTGAAATTAAAATTGGGTTTTAGTGAGAATGTTTCTCAAAAACTGTCACTGCCGTGTTTACTACAAAACAGCTAATAACAACATGTATTGAAAACCTGTTCAAACAATATTTTGGTTGGCCAGACCAACCTTCTTCAGGTCTACAGATGTTACTAAATTTTAAATAGGAATAATACATACTACAATATTATATAGATGGAGAATGTCATAATGCAAATCGTATATAATATACTAACTCCTATTAAATGTTTAGTAACATCTGTAAACCTCAACAAGGCTAGTCTGGCCAACCGAAATATTGTTTGAGAAAGTTTTAAATACATGTTGTTATCAGCTATGCAGTAGTCTTTGGACTTCTCGTTTTTAGTTTTCAATTTTTTTCTCTGATTAGATCCAATGTTGACAACCAGCAGGATATTTGTCCAGCAGGATATTTGCAGTTTATTTCGTTACCACTGCTGTGTTTGCTATTTAGGAATAGGCTGATCTGTTGGACAGTCCTGATTACTAGTGAAATTCTCTCAATGACTGAGCTGGTCTGGCTGGCCCGTCAGTTCTGACTAACTGTAAATGCCCTAAGTTATGGTTAACAGAAAATCGTTTTGTGAGAACTGCAGTTTTCTCCCCCACCGTAGGGGGTCCTCCATCAGTTGATCAGACTGACGCCGCAGGTGATTTTTCATGAGATCGAGAAATAGCTCTTCAGCAATCAACAAATCCCTGCATTACTGATTGTTGGAAGTCAAGGGCTGTTGTCAAAGTTTAATAAACATGTATCTTTTGCTGTTCGATTTATCTTGTATCTCTTCAATGCGGTGTGTTTCAGTAAACAGCGAACAAATTCAAAATCAATGATTCTGATCATTAGCCTGCTCTGGTAGATGTGTATTCAACACATGTACCAAAAATTGATTCGTACCAGGCCAGTTAATCAGTCCTGGCTTAAGGATGCGACATGTTTTCCACGTACTCATATACGTACCCGAGCGAGAAACGGGGAAGGCAGGCTGAAGAGTTGCAGATGATAGCCGGTGACACAGCGGCCCACAAGTAAATCCATGTGTAACACCACGCACGGACTAAGTACACCATGAGATAGGATACAGTATAAGGAACGAAAAGCCATTCGATGTGTATTTTGCTTTGAATGAGTAATCGACGCTTTCCGCTGCAGCCATGCAGGTAGCTCCCAAATTTCTCTGAGAGGTCATGCCTGGCACGTAATCTGGCTGATCAAGAGAATTGGGAGACGTTCTATCATATTTCTGCCTCTAAGGCCTCGTCTACTTCGTCCAGAAGTCCTAGCTGTAGGTTTGCCTTTGAAATTAAAAAAAATAAAATTCTCCTTACTTATCGTGTTCAAGTATCATCAAGTACTGTTATAAATACTTGGTGGTAGACAGCACTCAGGCAGTTTTAAGTTAAAACTTTTTGTTAACGGTTCAAGGATAGTGAATTACGTAACTGTGGAGATTAACAATGGTCTCAGGCACTAACTTGATCTATCCTCCGCCCAAAACGAAAGGAGAGGTTACAGAAAGAGAACTTTTTCATTTAAAGTTTAGCTGTTCAACACACGAATGAGAATAGAGCCTTTTCACATGACGTTACGTCCGCCATATTGGTGTCACCTACCCTTTCCCTAAGCCAACATTAACTCTTACTTCTCAGTTAGGACAAAATGTTGGCTTAGGGGAGGGGTAGGTGGGCAGTTTCCCTGAAACGTATGATGATCCACGCTTTGTATAGCTGCTGGCCACGTGGGTGAAAACGCTCTATACAGACGACTTATAGGTTGTGAACTTCGAGCCCATGCAGTCATGAATGAGTTTGTTTAAAGAGAAACTGTGCATTTGGCAATCTCATAACCCTCCCCCAAGGAAAGCAAGAAGAAAGACCCTGACAATATAGGTTGCTCATTGCGGTTCTAATTTCACAGTGAAATTCTCACTTTCTGAACAGTTTCCACAACCGAGTTCTCACGGATATTGCACGCGCGTTGACATACAGCGAAGCCTGAAATGCGTTAAGGATTTACTGATTAGTTCTCTTGTGAAAACTCCTAATGTAATAAATTAAAGCGGCGAGTCTATTTCTCACCTTTTTCTGTATGATGGGAACAGGTAAAGCAATCATCAACACACCGACAATACAACCCAAACTGCCCACTAGCTTTCCAATGACTGTGTGTGGTACCATATCTCCATACCTGTAGGACAAACATGATACATACAGTGTATGGTTCGAACCTGTGACAAAGCCGGTAATCTCGCGATTGTCGCAGCCAAGCACTTTTTAACTTTTGGATAACGATCACGTCCAACTGTCCTATTCGAATAAGATATAATTCCAACGTAACAAAACCCGGTAGGGCTTGCTCATCGACGAGACTCACTCACTTCGAATAAGGACTCCACTATTAAAGTTGATAAATTTGGTAAGCGACCACCATTAGTTCCAAAATTTAAAAAAGTGCACACTCCGAATACTAAACAAACGTTTATTCATTTTTAATTAAGTATTTAATTGCGTATATATTAGAATTTAACGGCACAAATTGCAATTCATAATAAAATAAGTTAAAATATTCTTTTTAAAAGAAAAATCAACGATAAAAAAGTAACACGACATTTCAATGACTCCATGTCATCATTATCAAATGCGAAGAAAATTAGCATGAATCGGTGATATATATACAGAAAAAAGAAAGTGTCAGGAATATGTAAAGTTAAATTGAGGCGTGAAAATGGAGCAAACTAACAATTAAATAAAAAGTTTCGCCCGGATGGCGTCCGCTTGAGTGTTTAAATTAGTTCTTTTGTTTCTGATGATAAGCATTTCCAAGATCAGACACGCAAGCTTCCCTCGGCGTTTCTTGAGGACCTTAAAGCGCACCACTCAAGCGGACTCCATCCCGGCGAAACGTTTTGTTTAATTGTTAGTTTGCTTCATTTTCACACCTCAATTTAACTTTACATATTCCTGACACTTTCTTTTTTTCTGTATATATATCACCAATTCATGCTAATTTTCATTGCATTTGATAATGATGACATGGAGTCATCGAAACGTCGGGCGCTTTCCATTTAGTCAAAATTTCCGGAATTTCCGGCTCGGCGGTAAATGGAACACGTTTCGTCGGTTCGTCCCACTGGAAAATTCCCAGAAAAAGTGGAAAATCTAAAAAGGTGGTCCCGTTTTCCGGTTGGAATTTCCGAACGGAATGTCGTGTTCCATTTACGTTTCTCGTAGTTTGTACCAGTTCCAGGTCCACGGTCGGGCACCCGGCCACGTACCGGGGTTTACGACCAAAGGAACAACTTTTTACCAATCGGAAATTCCACTTTTGCTGCCACCGAAATTTCCGGTTTTTTTTCGTAAATGGAAAGCGCCCGTCGTGTTACTTTGTTATCGTTGATTGTTCTTTTAAAATGTATGTCGAAATCGATCGTTATCTAAAATATTCTTAACCATTAATCTAATCTAAGAACTTAGAAACAATGAATATTTAGCCTAACTATAATATGAAGTGCAAGATCGAAAAAATGTAATAACAGACGGGTAAAAATTTAAATACAAATATAATAAAAAGTACAAAGCTATATAAAAAAGATAAGCTGAAGCCGCTCCCACTTCCCTGCCTGCTCATGATAGCATTAAACAAATTTCACCCCAAACTTTTCTCATGAGAGGACGCAAAGGGTTTTTACTGGAAGTACAGCACCATGCAGAGTCTTGCAGCACCATGCAGAGTCTTGAAAAAAAAGCTTTGTGGGCACTTAATCCCATTTAATATTTGACACTCCTCTAAAGGAGTGTCATGGCGAAACTTTTCAATGTATTAAATGTCAGCATACATTGCAAGATAATCTTCATTTTGCGCCAGAATATAATTTTGTTTGCGCGCTTTTAAAGCACCTAAAATCACTCGGTTCCCCACAACGCCTGCATTGTTACTGGACTACGTTGCCTTGGCGTGGATCTAGCATTTCACCTCCTCGTCGCTTCTTTTTCTCGGGAATTGTTTATATTTGGACGTAGTGAGAATAGATCAGAATGTGTGGTGGATGTTCACACTCGGCTACAACTAATACATGCGGCCTAATATCAAGGAAGGATGCTGGATTTTTCTCATTGTTAGCGAAAGGAAGGTAAAAAAAAAAACGATTGCTCTGAGGTAAGAATTGAAATTTTTAATCAGTTTCTCTGCGAAAACAACCGTTCCACAGTAAAGAAATTTAGTATCGCTGCGACTTTATTATGATATGACGCCAGCTTGTGCTTAGAAATTGTATGACTCCATAACTTCGATTCGCTTTTTCGCAGATCCGGTAACATTCGATAATTTTTTCTTCGCTTTCTTAAGTGTGATATATTTTTAAGGACGGTGCCTTGTTCAATGGTTCATTTCCTTGGCCTCGACGATTCCCATGAATTTTGAGCTGCCAGACATAGCAAATGCTCTAGAGCTGAATAACGCATTAAAGTCGTATGTTATTAACCTCATGAGAGAAAAAACATGATTGTTATTTCACATTTTAACATTTTTACGTTAGAAAACTTGGCCAAATCAAGAGAATGAGCTATAATGTTGACACACAAACGTAAAGAATGTTTAAGTGAGAGGTGCTAGATCGCAACATGTTCGTGTCCTCCTGTGCTTATGTATTTTGCGCGGAAAGCTGGACCTTTTCAATCCTAACAAAAATACTCTTGTAGTTTTGAACCGGCTTAAGCCCCAACCCTAAGTTGGACACGAAGCTTTGATTTTGGGCGCGAGACTCAACAGAGAAGGCTGTGACCATTTTTTGAAGCGCGAGGCGATTACAAGCTTTTTTCAAAGTGTCAGTAAGAAAGTACTTCTCCTGTTGCTGGTCTAAAACTAACTTTTTTTTCGAACTGGCGAACGGCGCGTCCCATACAGTTCCATGCAACAGTTCCATACAGTTCGATGTAACATATCCTACTCCTGTTCATAGACTAAAACCAACTTCTTTGTCGAACTGGCGGACGGCGCGTCCCATACAGTTCGATGTATCATTTCCTACTCCTGTTCCTAGTTTAAAACTAACTTCCTTTTCGAACTGGCGGACGGCGCGTCCCATACAGTTCGATGTATCATTTTCTACTCCTGTTCCTAGTTTAAAACTAACTTCCTTTTCGAACTGCCGGACGGCGCGTCCCATACAGTTCGATGTATCATTTTCTACTCCTGTTCCTAGTTTAAAACTAACTTCCTTTTCGAACTGCCGGACGGCGCGTCCCATACTTTTCGATTTAACATATCCTACTCCTGTTTCTAGCCTTAAACTAACTTCTCTTTTTCGAACTGGCGGACGGCGCGTCCCATACAGTTCGAGGTAACATTTTCTACCCCTTTTCCTAGTTTAAAACTAACTTCTTTTTCGAACTGGCGGACGGCGCGTCCCATACAGTTCGATGTAACATTCTACTCCTGCTCCTAGTATAAAACTAACTTCTTTTTCGAACTGGCGGACGGCGCGTCCCATACAGTTCGATGTATCATTTCCTACTCCTGTTCCTAGTTTAAAACTAACTTCCTTTTCGAACTGGCGGACGGCGCGTCCCATACAGTTCGATGTATCATTTTCTACTCCTGTTCCTAGTTTAAAACTAACTTCCTTTTCGAACTGCCGGACGGCGCGTCCCATACAGTTCGATGTATCATTTTCTACTCCTGTTCCTAGTTTAAAACTAACTTCCTTTTCGAACTGCCGGACGGCGCGTCCCATACTTTTCGATTTAACATATCCTACTCCTGTTTCTAGTCTAAAACTAACTTCCTTTTCGAACTGGCGGACGGCGCGTCCCATACATTTCGATGTAACATATCCTACTCCTGTTTCTAGTCTAAAACTAACTTCCTTTTCGAACTGGCGGACGGCGCGTCCCATACAGTTCGATGTAACATTTTCTA